AAAGGAAGACAGATACAAGTTCCGGCATGGGACAGTGTGGTGACGCTATCAAGGGGAACGGTGTGGCTTTACTGGGGAGGTCCTGAAGACACTCGCTGGGCGGCTCTCCCTCACACGAACAACCTGTCTATGCTCGTCCTCTCAACGTCCCTCTCCCATGATCCCTCCCCCCGCCTTCACCTTTTCCCTCCTCCAGGAGGCTCGTTTGTGACCCCGCCAGGGTGGTGGCACTCCCACCACAACGACTCGGAGGAGGATGCCTGGGTGCTCCCCATGCAGGACGCTGGCCTTTACACCCACATGTAGGCGCCTCTCCTTCCCCCTTTTCCTCCCTCCCTCCCGCCCTCTCTCCCACCCTCCAGTCTTGCGTTCACCCTTTCCTTTCTTATGCTTCCCCTTTGAGGTGGAAATCCATCCTGGACTGTCCCTCTCCCCTCCCTTTTGGAGTCTGTCATTAATGCCTCGGCCACCCTCCCTTTCTCCCGCGCTCCCTCCTCTCCATTCGTCGCAGGCGCTCCCTCGACATTCGCTTTTCTAAAGCCAACAAATGGCCTCGAATCGAGTGAGCTTGCGTCGAGGGGGAAAAATAAAAAAAAGAAGGAAGGCCTCTCCAACACTGATTTCGCGCTCAGGCATAATGACGGAAGTACAAATGAGAGGGAAGGGAGGGACTTACACTGACACGTTTGACTTGTGGATGGGGGAAAGGACGATGTACACACGTAGCAATTGCGGGGAAGGGAGGGAGGAGGAAAGGGGGTGAGAGGGAAATTTCACAGAAGTCTATTTAGTCGTTCCCTTGTGGATTTTTTGATTCTTTCGGCATGTCCACCCGTGGCTAGTGGTGAGCAATCCATCCAGAATGGTGGCCGCTGCCTTCCAACCGGACGAAGCCAGTGTGGCCTGAGGCAGGCATCAGAGCAGGCCACTAAAGGCGGAGACGGAGAGGGGAGTGGGGGAAATTGTGTAAAATGGCCCGGGGCGGGGGGGGGGCGTGTCAGCAGAAATGAAAACGCGAGATTGCGGAAGAAAGGAAGTCGCGCCGACCACAGATGCCCTCCAACCGGACAGGTGCGATCGATTCGGAGAAATAGGATGATATCGAGGAATTTTGGGACCAAGGACTTTCGCTACCGACATTATCGCAAGCCTCCGAAAGAAGAAATGCATGACAAGCAAAGAACGGCTGGAGAAGCCTCGTGGATATTCTCCTCTGGGCCCATGGGAGTCCTCGCGTCCGTTGAGTGGGGGATCTTTTGGGAAGCGGACGTGCTCTTCTCTGCGAGCCATTCCTTGTGACCCTTCATCGATGCATGTCCTTCCCTTTCTTTTTCGCCTCTCAATGGCATTTATCCTTTCTTCATGTGGGTTTTCTCACGGAGGGTGGAGGATGAGATGTCACCGACCACCATCTCTACCACCAGAATCAAAGCCTGAGAGCATGGCCACACACTGTCTTCGATCTCCCGCATGGACCGCGGTACTTCGACATCATGCTCGACTCGCGTTCCCTCGGGGTCTTTTGGTTCTAGTCCATGCCACCGCCAAACTTCCCTTCGGGCTTCCGTCCTCGTCGCTTTGGTTCCCCGATCGCCCACAAAGCTTCACCATTCCTCGCCCCACGCCTCGACCTCCCTCTGCAACCTCCTAAACTGGTGCGGACAAGACTTGGCATTCGTTTCCCCTCGCATCGACGTACACACCACCGTCCCTCCCTGCTTTCTTTTCTCCCTCCTCGAACCCCCCCCTGGAGAGGTAGAAGGCCTTCATCCTCGCCCATGGTGTATGGACGCTGATCGTCCTAAAGAGAGCCGAAAGTAGCCACGGGAGTTGTGGGGAATTGATTTTATGAACAAAATGAAGAAGGAGAGGGCGGGAAAGGGAATGAGAAGCGAACAATCACGTGGGGCTTGCCCCGTGCCGTCCTCCCTCGCAGAGGAGCCCTCGGAACCTATCCTATCATCGGCCCTCCCTTCCCCGCTCCTCTCCTCCCGGTCTACCACGTGTCTTTCATTTTTTTCGTGCCCCCCCTCGCCTCTTCTTACTCCCGTCCCTACAGTACTGCCTCCGTTTGCTCAGACCTACGCTATTTTCCTTACCCTACCTGCACCCTAATTCCCACGCATCATCACCTTCCGCTTCTATTTTCCCTTCCTCCCTCCCTCCCTCCCTCCGCACCGTTTTCCCCGTCCTCTCGCCTCAGTCTTCACGGAGGCGACGAGACCCGTGCCCAGACCTTGGTTTCGGAACGGAGGGATGACAATTACCTAAAGAAAGAGGGAAGGAGGAAAAGAAGGAAACAAAGATTTACATAGAAGACGAGGGAGCGCAGAGGGACGGAGCTAGCAGTCTGGGTTCGCTTTTTCCACTCTCCCCTTCCCTCCTCTCGATTTTTCCACACCTGACGCAGACGGTTTGCCCGGACGTCATATAAAGCGAGTCCTACCACCGAAGCCTTCGATTGAGGAAATTTTGAAAAAAGAGGCAAGCATTTATTTGAGTATATATCTTTGGCAACGATGCACGCAGTGACACCTGTGGCGTCACCTTGAAATGCGATGTTTGATGCACTATCTCTCCTCAACCCTCTGCTTTCCTCTCCAAGTCGTTTCCCTTACCTGCCCGTGCGATAAGGCCAAAAAATGCACGGAATGCGCGTCCACGTCAGTCAGGTAGGGAGGGAGGGAGGGAGGGAGGTAGCGTTGCCGAATTGCCTGCGTGGCCATGTGCAAGCCGGGCTCCTCCTCCGGGAGGTTTTCAAAGCTGCAAAGGCAAATCGGGAAGAAGGAAGCGAGAGAGAGAGGGGAAAAGAGAATGACAGCATGTGAGAGAGTGAATCTAAGAAGATGACGAAGGAGAAGTCCACGTACCGGTGTATCAACGGCCTCTGCGATGAGGAAAGTGGACGCGGCACAACTTCCCTATCGTTATGGGTACCGTGCGATTTTGAGGGCTTGAATTCGCTCGTTTCACCTCCTCCCCCCTACCGCCCTCTTTTCCTCCCTCCTCACCACCACCCATCAGCAAGCGCATGACCAGTCCTCAGGGAGGGAGGAAGATGTTCCAAAACATTCAAACTGCGGACTAAGGTGCCCCGAGACGGATGGTACTGCAGTTGTAGGAAGGAATTGGTAAAAAAGGACGTGCAAGTGACTTCAAGAGGATTGAGAGGGAGATATGGAAACGAGGGGGAAAGGAAGAGGAGAAGAATCGCTCAAGGAGGAGGAACGGTGATAAAAGGCCAAGGCTCGAGAACAATTACACGGGAGATCATGACAAAAAGGGAAAGAGTGCAGCGAGGAGCATTGAAGAACTTGTGTATAAAATCAGGATGAAAAGCAGGGATGACTTTCGACGAGGCTGATGAGTAAGGGCGGAGGCACACGAGCCGGTACGATGAGCTAGATGTGCAAGAAATATAAGCAAGGAAAGGCGAACACTAGCGCTGTAATGGCAAATGAGATGCCGAAAAGGCCATTCCAAGACTCGAAAATGACGAAGGGAAAATGTGGGAAAGTGAGACATGCGGACACAGTGTGAACTTTACATTTAGACATGGAAATTTAAACAAAGTCTGAGAGGGGTGTACCTGCAGCGTGCTGATGCCTGTGTTGCCGTGTACAAAGCCCAGGGCGGACGACAGCGAGCCGCCTCCAATCATCTAGGGAGGTAACAAGGAGAGTGGGTAGGAAGTAGACGCGAAACATGAGGTTCAAAGATATCTATTGAAAGCTCAAGCCTTTTGAAAGTGAGAAATCCCTGTCGTTGGGGCCGGTGGAGGGTCCAACCTGGTGGTGGGTAGCGGGCTCACAGGCAACAAGGGGGGACGTTTCATAGAGGAAAAATCGGCGAGAGAGCAACGAGAGCGGCCTCTTGAGAGAGAGAGACAGGAGGGGGGACTGACGTCGTACCTTTTTCATGACATAATGCATGAACTCTCCGTGCCCCACGACAACGATGGTGTCGTAGCTCCTCCCTCCCCCCCTTCCTCCCCCCCTCCCATCCCCGTCGACGGCGTTCGGGAGCGCCCCTGCAGACATGGTAAAAGCCCAACAATCGATCGAAGATTCAACCTCACAGTGGGCACCTCTCCCTCCTTTGCTCCTTTCCTCTCTTCCTCTCCCCCGGTCCTTTCCCCCTCACCGGCCAGAAGTACGTCCTGAATCCAGAGCCAGGCCTGTTCACAGCGCAGAAGAGCTTGGGGATGTCCCTCCCGCTCTTTCTAGAAATTTCAGCAAAAGAAGGAGAGGGAGGAATCAAGAATGAGCAAAGCCTACGACTTGCGTGAAAAGATTGAGCGAATGACGGTGCTGTTCTTGGCAGGAACTGACTTGAAGGGGGAAGGGGAGGAAGAGGGAGGATGGGGAGGAGAGAAGGAAAAAGTCGCGTACCGAGTGGGCATACCATCCTTCCTCTTCCACGTCAAAACACTGGAGCTGTCGTGAGTGTTGCGATGAAGACAAAGATTAAAGCTAGCGGGAGGGACGAAAGGTGGCTCTGAACTGTGGTCTCCCGCGCCAATCATCAGCAGTATAGGCACCCTCCCTGCCTTTCTTCCTCCCGACTCCCGCTTCTTCCAATGGCCCCCACCCTGCGTCCACCCGCCTCTAAACACTCGCCCCTCTCCATCTTCACCTTGTAGGTTCCTTCAAGCTCGGCTCTGGAGGTGCCCGTGTAGACGCGATCTTGCAGGTAACACCCGCCCACCTGAACATGACGAAAAGAGAGAAAGCGAAATGAAAAGGGAGGGAAGAGAAACGACATGCTGGAGTCAGACGGTTGTGGGAGGGAGATGAGGGGTGATGGGGTGGCCCTAGGAAATTTTCTTCTTCTAGACAGGGGCAAGTAACATGAAAGAACGGCCGAATTCGGTGCATCAGGATCCTAATTTACCTCGAAGTAGCGACCGTAGCAAGCGAAGTCTTCAGGGCCTATACCGAGCCGAGTGACCTTGCGTGAGAGGGAGCGAGGGAAACGAGGGGGGAGGGTGCGGCGATGGCAAGGGTCAGAATGCGACGAAGCTGGGGAGGGCTGGGGGATGGAAAGGGGGATGAGAGGGGACATACCAAGGGTCTGATGGTCTTTATCGCCCTTTGCATGGGAGAGGTGACGACGAGCACCCTGTGTCGGGTAAGGGGAGGGGAGAGAGAGGTAGAGACGTGGCGGTCGTCCGTGAGAGTCGCATCCGTGGGGGACTCGTAGGGTGGCAATAAAGGTATCGAGGCCAACAACAAGACGATGACATACTCGTCGTTGCTTTGCGTGATGAGTCTGCAGGAGGATGATACTAGCACGGAATTCTATCCCCCCTTCCCTCCCTCCCTTCTTCCATCCGTCCCTTCCTCCCTCCTCACCGGCGTTGTCTTAGGCGCTCGGCTAGGTATTCGCCCAACCGCTCCGCCTGCACAAAACCCTTCTCACTGAGATCAGCGTCTTCGCTACGCAGAGAAGCAACCTTGGAAGAAGGTCAGGACACAACAGTGATATCATGGTGAGAGTCATGGATAACAAACAGTTTCGAGAGGGCAGTCATATATCAAGCCAAGTGTCTAGATGCACAAGCGACAGGCAGGCGCTCAAGGTATTTGTACCAGGTATAAGAAGAGATGAATGATCTGTCTGGGCAGAAAACGTACCTCCTTTTCCATAAGTTCATGTAAATTTGGGTCGAAATTGTATCGCGCCCCCACCTAAGGAGAAGCGACGGTAAGGCTGCGCGTCAGACTAGCGCCCTTCATACAAGGGGATGAGCTTCATAAATCATCACACATACAACAAGAAGAGCAAGCGGTTACGCGTTGAAGCACATACCTCGGCGTGTAGGACATTGTTGCGAGACTCGGCATGACGGATAAAAAGGACTTCGGTACCACCGTGGGGGTCATCCTGTCATGGAAGAACCAGGATTTGAGAAAGAATATCAACAGCCAAATCTAATCACGTAGCGATCCTGTTAGCGTTTATTGTCACGCATTTCCCCCTGAAATCGTTCTTAGTACAGCGCAAGATCTCGAGTATTTACCTCCCCACCTCGTGTCTGAAGACCTACCATCATTGCTCGCATGCCATCCCCTATTCCCTGAAGAGCTTCTCCTCCGCAATCATCGGGATTGCTAGAGGTGTCGTTGCTATACATTATTCTGGTGAGCCTGTCTGTGATTTGAAAAAGTTGGCCAGACGCTCCCGGCTGTCGCGGCACGTCCGGGCTGAACACGACAAGCTCCGAACCAAACCGTTGCGAAATTTGAAAATCGCAAGACTTGATTACATGAAAAAAATAAATGCCTAGCACATTCCACCATGTTTCAAGAACATTTCTTTGGTCCTTCAGACGTTTATTATTTAGATTTGAACGTTTGTGAATCTGTATTTAGTTTGCCGTAATGATGCATAACCTCCCCGACTACGAGTCATTTCTTCCTTGCAATCGCGCTTGCATCAACCAGAGCAATGACATGCTAATTGTCTGAGTCCACTTCGCCTCTTTAAAACGCCCTTTTAGCACTGCTTCTCTCAAGTCTTTTTCCTGCATATACACTTTCCGCTGCATCTCCCTGTCGTCCGACTTGGCCACTGTCTTTATAGACTCCTTCACCGAGCCCTCCCTCGGTATATGGCAATCGTCTGCAAAAAAAACATTTAGAAAACCTCCACCACGCGTCGATGAGACGCGATATTGTCCTAGAGAAATCCATGTTGGTGATTCTTGGGAGTGATACGAGCCGATTGCACTGGTTAAAACAATAAGTTTCAGATGGTTGTATGGTCGCTTTGTCGCACTATTTACGGTGCATCGAGGCGGAAGAAAACGAAAGAGGGAATCTAAGGCAAGAATATAAGAGACCACACAATAGAGAGGAGAAAAGAGGGTTGCGTGGATATCATGCACATACCGAGACCTGCCTCCTCGAGAAGCTCTCGTTTAGCTGCCATGAGGGCGTCTTCGCCTGGCTCCACAAGGCCACCGATGGGCGCCAAACTGTGTCATTTGTGGCATTTCGACAAATTTATTGGTCCGTTGTAAAAGCTGTCGGACTCCCAAACTGGCTGTTTGAAAGAGGACGCGAAAAAGCTACATTACAGGCGCCACATAAAGGCCGAGGACCTCGGGAAGAAATCATCTTATGATACTTCTTCTTAGCTTCCTCCTCACCTGAGACCTTGATAGCCATACTTTTTCTGCTCAAAAACCAAGAATCTCCTGTCTTCTTCGCCCCCTGTCATTCCCTCCCCTGCACCCGTCCCCGCCTCCGCTTCCAGGCGCACCAAGACATTGATCTGGTCTTTCTCGTCAAACCACAGCCATCCGTCCAACACCTGTGATCGGGACAGAATGGAATCACGCACATCATCCTGTCTTTGTCAGTGCCCTGGGCATTTACGGGAAGCCATGTGTCCTTTTCGAGAAAGATCCATTTCTAAACGTACCGCTCCATCCTCCGCTTTGACTTTGTGGATCTCGCAGACACCAAACGACGTGGACACCACTGGGACAACTTCTAGTGTCTATAGGACGGTTTCCAGGAGGAATATGCAGAGATATAAGGAGAGCCCGAGGCCAAAAAAAGTCGTGCAAAGAATGTACCTGCTCCGATCGCCATGGCTTTCCCGTGAATGGCGTGAGCTCCAGCGGGCGGAAGTCTTTCCCCGAGACCAGGGGTCCACCCTTTGAACGTAAAGCAAACGAAGTGATCGTTGTTTGTAGGTGACAGCATATCAGCAATATCGGATGCAAGAGTGACATGCGTTCTTACCTTTTGTGCAGTTGGAGTGAACGACGAAGCCTCTAAATGTTGGGCCGTACGCGCTCTTATCCAACAAAGAATTCCCAACGCTGCGATGGCAAGAAAGGGTTTTAGCAACGTACTGCCCCTCCAGGGCCCCGCGACCTTCTGAAAATGACGCCGTCGAAGCATGGCGTATGGTCTATGGAAGCGAAATATCAAGGGTGTGGGTTCAGAAAGTCGATGCATTGAGTCTTGGAGGTCGTAGAATTGGCACGTACGTGTTGTTGTCTCTCTAGGCGAAGCTTAAATCCTCGCTGTAAGTATCATTGCCTCGACATCTTCCTTGTTTCAATTGATCACGTACTACACCAAGCTCAAGAGTTTTTATTTTGTACAGGAAGATATGGCAGGCAGGAGTAATCACGGTGGAAACAGGCTTGTGGTCATGGTGGCTGAAAAGCCGTCCATCTGCAATGCTATTGCCAATGCCCTCTGTGCAGGGGCGGAAATGAGTACGAGAGGTATGTGTGCGATTAAGAAGTGGGAAGTGTCGGAATGTTGGCATTGGACATAAATTTGTTTTGTTACATTCTGAAGCCGTCTGAGGATTTGATTAGATGCATTCATCCTTGGTCATCGAAAGTGCGTCAGATAGGCGGTCTCTGGCATCCCTTCACAAGGTACTTTGCTGCCCAATTTGTTCCATAGGACGCTCACCTCCAGTGCACGAATTCCACGGGCGCTTCGAAGGACAATCAGCACGTATAAGGGTCACATCCGTGACGGGGCACGTTTTCTCGACGGACTTCCCCGGACAGTACAGCAATTGGGAGGCCGTGGACCCGGTCGACTTGTTCAAAGCCCCCACTCGGAAGGAGCCGACGAGCAAATTCATCACCCATCACTTGGCATCGGAGGGAAAAGGGGCAGATATCCTTGTGCTCTGGCTGGATTGCGACAGAGAAGGCGAAAACATCTGCTTTGAGGTCATCGAGTGCATGCAACCGGGGTTCAAGGCTCACACGCGCATTCTGCGGTCAGTCTTCCCACCCCCTCATCAATATACGTAAAACTACAATCGAAGAATCACTGTACAGAGCCCGTAGCATACATGTGTGTCTGTCTGCCACGTGTGAAGAGCCCGATGAAGCTGGCCATGCTTGCTGATGCATGACGTACACGGTATACAGGGCACATTTCTCAGCAATCACGCCGAAAGACATTCACCGTGCTTTACAGAAATTAGGCGTGCCCAACAAAGATGAAGCCCTCTCGGTGGATGCGCGGTCAGTGAAACAGGGTCCTTGGAAGGGTTTGGTAGGGTTGTCTTCTCCTGTTCACTTTTTCGGAAATTTCCTGACGTGAAATCCCCCCTCTGCCTTCTACCCGTTACAGCCAAGAGCTAGATTTGAAGGTCGGAGTCGCCTTCTCACGCTTCCAGACACGTTATTTTCAGGGTAAATATGGGGATCTGGACGCAACTTTGGTCTCGTACGGGCCTTGTCAGACGCCGACCTTGGGCTTCTGCGTCCAGCGGCATGACGAGATTCAATCCTTCAGCCCGGAGAAGTTTTGGTACCTGGCAGCAGCGGTCGCGAAAGACGGGGCTAACGTAGCGCTTGAATGGGTAAGTGTTGACCGGTGTGCAAGGCTTTCAGGGAACATGTTGCCCTTCGTCCTCCGTGAGTGTCAATACAGCAGCAGGTGCGAGACATGTGGACCGCGTCATGGACCCGGTCGTCCCGTTTGATATCTCTGCCCTCGGGCAACGACCGACTGTTTCCGTGTTGCCCGCTCTTCAGCCATATATACAATTGAAAAGATCGATCGACACAATCTCTTGCATGGGAACATCCTCACATTCCATAGGGCCGCGGGCGTGTGTTTGACCACGAAGTGGCCCATGTCTTCCTCCACCTCGTGGGGGAGGCGGGCTCTGTCGCTGTCGATAAAGTTCAGAAGTCCGAGCAACGACGCACCAAACCCACCGCCCTCAACACGGTGGAACTCCTGAAAGAGGCCTCCAAAGTGCTGGGCATGGGCCCTGCGCAGACAATGTCCGTGGCAGAGCGACTCTATCTCTCTGGTTATCTGTCCTACCCACGGTGCGTGCACTCTCCCGGCGTGAGATACCTTCTTCGGGCCGCCTCTCCTTTTTCTCAACGGCTTTTGCGTTCGATGCATGTCTAGGACCGAGTCCACCGCCTATCCGGAGAGCTTCGACGTCCGCGGTGCGCTGAGCTTGCAGGTTTCCCACCCGACCTGGGGAGACTACGCCAAAGGGTTGCTCCAAGAAGGCGTGTCTCGGCCGCGCGCGGGCGTGGACGCGGGAGACCACCCGCCAATCACGCCTGTACGGGCCTTGGATCCCACGGTACGGGCGCGGAAGGAGTGTGCGGGTCTGAAGCGGGTGATGGGCGAGGGCGAAAGATGGGGTGGAAGCTAGAGTAGCGTCGCTGGTGCTCACCGATGCATCGATCTATCCTTTTGCGCGGCACAGGAATTTCCTGGGGACATGGGACGGCTCTACGACCTGGTCACGCGCCATTTCTTGGCAAGCTTGTCGCATGACGCCCGCTTTCTCCAGACTAAAGTCCTCTTCTCCTCGGAATGCGGGGAGTCCTTCAGTGCCTCCGGAAAGATCATGATCGACCCTGGCTATCTCGCTGTGCTCGCACAGTCTAAGGTAAGGAAAGGCTGGGGGGCTGGGAGTGGACTGGTGAAGGGTGCAATAACACAGTCGGGAAGGGTTCTCTGCCCGCGACCGCGCTGACGTCTCTTATTCGTGCGCCGCCACTGCCAGGATGAGAGCAAGCTGCCGGATTTTCAAGAAGGGGACCATTTTACATTCTCCTCGTTGGGGCTTGGCGACGGCCACACGTCTCCACCGGGGTACTTGACCGAAAGCGAATTGATCGAGAGAATGGAAAAGCATGGCATCGGAACAGACGCTTCGATTTCCTCCCACATCAACAACATCGTGGAACGCAACTACGTGCACGTCGGTGATGGTCGGACCCTGATTCCCAACCCGCTCGGTGAGTAAGCACGGAGGCGAGCAGTAACAGCCAGAAGTCTCGGTAGAATACTACGTAACGTTAGTAATAGATGAAAGAGAAGCATTTCTGATGATAGTTGCGGCAACATTCTAGGCATTGTCCTCGTGCATGGATACCTTCGGATCGACGCCGATCTTGTCCTCCCTAAGGTGCGGGCACAAATTGAGAGCGAATGCACCCTCATCGCCAAGGGGCAGGTAGGTTGTGGGGTTCTTGAAAAAGGGTTAAAAACGTGCGGAACGGATTTTCTGTGATTTTCCATAGTTCGGGTGCTGACGAAGAGCGCTTCGTTGGCTTTTGTGATGGTCTTGTCGGATCGGACTTGTGTCTTTCGAGAACGCTTACCAGCTCTTTTTTGGATGATTTGGACATAAACGAAGGCGGATATGCAGAGCGTCGTGGACCATTCTCTGCGGAACTTCGAAGCGAAATTCCGCTATTTCGCCGAGCACATTGACCTGATGGACTCCCTTTTCGAAGCGACTTTTAGCCCTCTGGTAGGTTGAAGAGGGGACTCCAAAGTGTACACAAGGAACGCAAATTTTGCGAAGCCACTTTTTTGCCTCACTTGTGACGTCTCTTTCGTCGACCTTCCGCTTCCTAAACACCTTCTTACTCTTCAGGCGGCGACAGGCAAGCCCTTGTCTAGATGTGGAAAATGCAGACGCTTTATGAAGTACATCCACCTGAAACCGCAACGCCTGTACTGTCCCATTTGCAATGAAACGTACGCCTTGCCTCAGGTAAGCCCTTTCGATGTAATACGGCGTCATTGGGACATCTGTAGGGGCCCATGCAACTCCCGGAGAATTCTGCGGGTTGGGGATAAAAAAATATAAAAGCAAACGATAATCAGCTTCTCTGGAAAGATAAGATGGTAGATATGAAAGTAAGGTAAATGATTAAAAGTCGATTAATGGAAAGCGACACTCACTTCTCCTATCTCAACTATATCACATGACACTATAGAACGGCACTATCAAATTGTACAAGGAACTTAAATGCCCGCTCGATGATTTTGAGCTACTCTTGTTTTCACTCGGTGAGTGTGTATGATTGAAACTTGAGTGACACGAACATACGTTTTGAGTAGGAGAGAGAAAGTGAGAATAGATGTGATGAGTTTTACTGACTTGCAAATTCCTTATGTTTTCCTAAAACTTGCAGGAAATGCTCAAGGTGCTCAGGGTAAATCTTTTCCTCTTTGCCCGTACTGTTATTCCCATCCTCCTTTCGAAGGTGAGTATCGGTAAAGATCTCAATGTCTCTTCCTCCTAGTTGGAACGCTTTCGCCGCTGAGTTGCAATATCTACCCACATACATCCCTCGCGCATCTTCCATCTATTTACACGTAATTGCTTTATTCTTGGTGAGTCCTCCTCGTCTCCTTTCTAACCCTGTTTCTCCCACCCAGGCCTCAGCATTATGGGCTGTGACTCTTGCATGCATCCTACCTGCAAGCACTCCCTCACACGAAACGGCGTCTGCCCTTGCCCCGGCGAGAGTGGAGCTGCCTGTCCTGGCACGTTAGTCTTAGACGTCAACTCTTACCCTAACTGGAAAATGGCGTGCAATCGCTGCAACAATTTAGTGCTTTTCAAGGTGACAGTGAGGGGTCTAGTTGTGTGAACAAAGTCTCAACAAACCAACTCCTGAAATGAACAAATGTATATATATATATAATGTCCTTAATTATATCGGGGGTAGAAAAAAATAAAATTTGACAATTTTGTGGTAGATGACGACAATACTGAAATCTAGAATTCTTATTTTCTTCTTTCCCTAGGGCGGAAACATTCACAGTATCAAGCCAGCCACGTCCCAATACTGCGAGGTTTGTGGCTCCGCTGTACTAACGATCGAGTATCAAAAGGATAAAAGCCCCTTATCTGGTGAGGAGGGACGATTTTGTGCGGGTTATTGCGGTAGCATATCAAGGGCTATAACGGACCGTTATGCTTGGAAAATAATTATTGTGTAGAAATACACTTAAATGGTTTTTTGATATAATTTCAAAAATGGACGATACTTTTGACGCTTTTTTTATTTCTATCGGCTCATATGACAATTTCCGTAATCCTCGTGCAGGAGGGGAAACCAAGATAGAAGGATGTGTTCTGTGCCACGACATTCTTAACACCTGCACCGAACTGGCCAAAGGCCGACACAAGCATGTCGCCATTGCCCGCAAAGACTTTGCCAAGCGCAATCGAGGACGGGGGCGTGGACGCGGGCGAGGAAGGGGCCGCGGGGGGAAAGGGGGGGCCAATCCTCTTATGTCTTTCGAAGATTTTTGAAAGGGAGGAGGGGAGCGGAGGAAGAATTGCATCGGGGATAGTACCACGACAAATAAAGCTAAAATCACAGTTTTCAACATCATCCCCTTCAAATTGGAGTTCTTTACATTTACTTTTCGTTGTCCATTCTGAGAAACGGAGATGTGCGTCTATGACATCAAACATACGACAAAGAGCGTTATGAACATATGAAGTATTCCTAGGAAAAAGCCGACCGTGAATCTGATGATCGAAATAAAGTTGATCGTACTGCATGCACCCTGCCGCGTCGACAGTCTTTCCCATTTTTTCCTTGCCATCATCTTCTTTCTCAATATTCACAGTGCTGAATGATATGAATTCCCACCTTACGGCGGCTTTAGACCCTAAAAAGGGTTCGCTCGCTGATTTTAATGCCTCGGCGATTCACATGTCGCAGTCAATCCCATTTAATTTTTTCTTGCCCCATGTATATCTCACTCTTCACCCTCTCGAGTTCCTCTCCTCTTGCTCTAAACCTTCTATTATCGCTTAAGGTCCAATTGGCATCAGTATCCCTCAATCCTCGCTGACTCGTCCCTCCCCTCTCTGGTGCATTTCCTTCTCCTCCTCCTCTGCCAACTGCCGTTCCTCCTCCTGCTGCAACTCGATGGTCTGCCGGCGAATTAGCCCCTCATTGATCCGTTGCAGAGCCCCCACTGTTTCATGGCTGAATGCCTTGTCATGCTTGCTGCCGTCTTGGAACTCCTCGACCTTCCAACCCAACTTGGCCAACGTCTCGCTTCAAGTGGAGGCAAGCAGAATGATGATAAATGAGGCGGAGAAAAGAAATCGACGGTCAATCTTCTCCGAAGTCCGAAGACAAAGGGTGGCACGTATCTTTCGCAACAAGGTCTATCCATCCCCTAGCCACCTTTCTCTGGTCCTCCAGTCACCGTCCACAATCGCCCCCTTCAAACCATCGTTGTCATTCTTACCGGTGCACCGCATCAGAGATGCCGTGTTTCTGCCTATACTCGCGAATGAAGGCCTTCTCGGAGGGCTCCACCCTATTATCAACTAGCACCTATGGTGAAAGAGTGGAGGATCGACTCATGAAGCGCTGCCTTGTATAAAACGCGTCCATCTCTTTCCCCAGCACTTCCTACCGTGGCCATGATCTCCTCGTATGCCTCACTATTGGCCTCCTTGGTGTGAGAGGTGAAGGACAGGAGCTTTCCGATCAAAGCTCCGTTGATGGCATGCGTCACACTCCGGGATAGGTTCGTGTCCTGTGGATAGGCGGAAAAAGGGAAAAGGGTAAGAGGCGGGGGACATGGAAAGTTTGATACCTGGGTGCGCCGATCGCAAAGCATGAAGACGGATCGCCTCGTGTCTCTCCCCCACGCCATCTTTCGCGAAAGGCCGTCACGCCCTCAGAGAGATCCCCAAACCACACCGCGGTCCTGTCGAAGCGCCAAGAATATAAACACACAACCTGATACCTGTTCTCATACCCACCTCACTCAAAAGCCCCCGTAGACGCTTATGCTCCCAGCACAAATATCGAACGGGACTCTCAGCCACGAAGGTAGCGATGGCGCCTTTGGCCTGTCCAGGAGAGAGGGAAACGTCCAGGGAGGCGGAAGATGGTAAAAGGATAAAATAAAAAATAGACACCCCCAAGGCCGAGGCCCGGAGAAAGGCTTAGAAAACAAAAAGCGCAAACGCACCTTCTTCTCTTGATCCAAGAAGTTGATCTCGCCGATCCAAGCCCCTGTCCGAGTGAGGGGGAAAAGCGCGTACGCCGAGTGAGGACCTCCTGTCGCCCTCTGCCTCGTCCTTCCCCCCGCCCCTTACCTACCGCTGTCCATGCCTTGGTTTATCTCCGTCTCACGGGCGCCAGGAAAAGTAGAAAAAGACTGGATGGGGATCTGTGTGCGGCGGTAGAGAGAGATAGAGCCAGATATGCACAGATGGAAAGGGTCTCGATGACACGTCACTCGTTGTGCAGGCAGAGGCACACCCCTCCAACTCCTTGCTTCCCCTCCCTCCTTCGCTGCCCCTCCTTGCCACCCACCCCGTTGACGAAGGCGGCTACCTTCCCCCTCGCAATCAGGACCAGCCTGTCCAGCGGCTCTCCTTCAACGGCAAGCGCCGTGCTGCGTGGGAGGGGAGGGAATGGAAGAGAACGAGAGAGATGAGAGCCCCTACAACCTCTTCTGACCCTTTCGCCGCCTCTCCGCCCTCCTTTCCTTCTCCACCTGCTCACCCGGCGGGCACGTCTTTCCACTCAGCAGTGCTCAGCAAGCGCCGGAACTGGGTCGGCGTCAGGGTGTAGGGCAAGAAATGCTCCTCGAAGAGCTCGAGCTCCTCCTGAGAAATGGGTGGGAGTAGGGAGAGAGAGAGACTTCAGCGGATGCAACAATGCCGAAAAGAACTAAAAAAAGTCTCCCTCATTCCCGTTCCCCTCCTCGTCGGGTCTCGCTTCCTGTACCGATCCCCTTTTTCTGTGGCGGCCCGACCCGAAACGACGCAGGAAGGGGAAAGAATACCGACAGGCTACATATCACGACCATACTCATCCCCGCCATCGCACACGGTCATGGCCTCCACACCCCCTCACCTTGGAAAAGGCGATCTCCTCGTCCTCGAACAGCAAGGAGAGGATCATGGTGCCGTTCACCGCCAGAAAGACCATGCCCCAGAGAGCCGGTATGCGAAGGGGTGGAGAGTGAGTCAGATTGTAGACGACTGGCAATAAAGGGGTTGAGGGGGACGAAGGAGGAAGGGGAAAGAATGAGAGGGAAAGAATGCGGTATTGTCGCAGGAAGACCCCGCGCTTTCAGTCGAGCTCGAAAAGTGAAGATATTACTTCTGTGGGCTCTCATTTTCTTAAGATTGGAACTACGATCGTTTCCATCCACATTGCATGCTTAAGCACTATCCAATTCATATATTATCTCTCCTCCTTGGATTGATAATTTCCATCTTGTTCGAATTACCTCCGCATGTCGTAGCCACCAGAGCCAAAGACCGCAGAAGAAACACGTCTGTCATGGAAAAGCTCAACAAGGCGCAGGTGTTGCCGAAATGCAACAAAGCGTGCCCGCCTTTTGGAGGTCCAAATTTGGCCGCTGGTGGAGGAGGGTTTGCAGCCTGTACGGAAGGCGAGGTGGACGTAGTTGACGAAAGCTGGCGGCTTGAATTCTGGTAGAAACATCTGATTAAGTCTCTGCCAGCTGAGCTGCGAGATGTTCCTTTCGCTGTTGAAAGATTGATTGTGAGGAGTCGGATAGAGGAGGAATAACGTCGTGTTGACAGAGGTCGGGCTGTTGAAAATGCCTCAGCGGCACTTCGTCGTCTCTGCGCGGCTGTCGCTGCTGTCAGGAGCCTGCACGTTGTTGTAATGCCCCTTCTAATGTTTGCACTCATTTCCTGTGCAGTCACATCATGAGGAAAAAATAGCATGAATGTCAGGGGGAGGCGGGCAAATCCATTTTTCGCAGCTCGGGGTTTCCGGCAAATGAACGTTAACCTCCCCCCACCTGTCGCACCGGTTCAGGAAAGGGCAACGCAATAAAATTCCTTTATTGAAGAAAGCTCTCTGCAGTGTGATGCGCATTTCGTGGACATAAGTCAATTATAGATGTCCAGATAAAAGCGTATGGAGTAATTTGCGCTGTAATTCCTAGATCCATTTCAGGTTTATCATGTAACTACGGCGAGCAAGCTTTCAAGACCTGCGGGATTTTATCATGTTCGACAGCAAAACGTTCAAGGTTTGAGAATCGAAAAGTATTTTTAAGTGCTGATAAAATATTGCGAGGCTAGAGAGTTAAGAAATCAAGCATGAAAGTAAAATGACGTTTACGAGAAGAAAAGATGCAATCAAATATCAATGCGCAGGTTGGAAAGCGAGAACAGGACTGCAAACGTAGCTTTTAAGAGGTATTTTGTCTTAATAAGGCTTCTCTGATGGTGATCTTGTTCGTGGTAATCCCCAAAATCTATCATATATAGATAGATCATAAAATTTCACGCTTTCTTTCGTGTGTACGCGGCGAAGGCGACACATTTCTTGTATTGTTTTTGCGGTGCCTTAATGAGGACTGGATGTCTCTGCAACGTCCTCATCATCCTTGACACCTCTTTCGTGAGAAGGATAATGTTTATCATAAAACTTCGTATGCAGCACCACCTTTACACAGCCTTCTTGCTTATCGTTGAAAATTTGGTACGCCCTGGCTGCATCTTCCAAGGGTAATTCATGAGTAATCACCACACGGGGGTCTAAGTCCTTGTTTTCGATTTTTTTAAGCAAGTTCTTCCAGTAACGTTGCACCGGAGTTTGCCCTGCCTTCATTGTCAAGCCCTTTTCCATGAAGCAGCCAAAGTTGAAGTGATTGACGTATCCCAGGTAGACCCCCACCACACTCACCCGCCCTCCCTTCCGCACCGTCGTAAATATCTCGTTCATCACGTCAGCGGGGTCTGTCTCCAGACCTAACGACATCTCAGCTTTATGCAGTAGCGTCGAGGCATAGTGAAACCCGACGGCTTCAATGCAGACGTCTGGACCGTGAGGGAGGACTCCACGTACAGCCTTCGCGACCCCTCCGTCATGCTGGTGCTGTCGACCGTTCAGCGTCACGAGGGAGCGTGGATCTAGACGTCGCTCCGCGAAATCAAGGCGATATTTCTCTTGATCAATGAGAAGAACTTTGTTAGCGCCTCGATGCTGCGCACACTGTGCTGTCAGGATACCTACAGGCCCGCCCCCCAAATGGCCACAGTATCCCCCTTGCTCACGTTCCCCATCTCACAAGCGTGCCAGGCCGTACAAAGGACATCTGAAAGGAGGAGAACGTCCAAATCACCGTGCCGCTCATGCTCTGATGGCACCTTAAGGAGGTTTTGCTCCGCGAAAGGCACACGCACGTAATCAGCTTGCCCACCCGCCCAGCCCCCAGTCAAATGGGAATACCCGAAATATCCCCCGCTTTTGTCCCCATATAGCCTTTCTTGTGCTGTACTGTCGTTACTTTTGTCGCAGAGAGTGTAAAGCTCGTGGCGGCAAGCGTCGCAACGTCCACAGGATATGTCAAAGCAGCACACAACCCGGTCCCCTTGGGCTAAATTTTTAACGTCATCTCCAACCTCGTGCACTATCCCCATGAACTCATGTCCCAAGATATCACCCTTAGTCATGGAACCCTTAGGAAAGTTGCCAGTGTATAAGTGCAAGTCAGAGCCACAAATAGCACTCGAGGTGACGCGGAGGATGATATCCTCTGGATGCGCCAGCGCTGGTCGATCAACTTCCACCACGCGAATGTCACGCGAGCCACTCCACGTTACAGCTGTCATGGGTTCTCCTTTTACAGTGGGGCCGCAGAAAGGTACTGTCAATTTCTCCTCCATTTTGGAAGTCTCTCCAGGCGCACTCATTATATGAGCTTTCGTTTTGATAATCAGAAAGCTTATAGGCTGTGCGGTATGTGCGTCGACGCTGAATGAGATTTTGCTGGCACAGAACATAAATCCATCAGCACGGCCTTACAAATGAGGCTTTTCAGAATTTCCTTGAAGCGAAATGAATTCCGCGCGACGCGCACGATTTTTCCTGCTGAAATTTTCTATATGTGTAGGTAGGGTGCCGTGTGGCCCATGCGATAAGTTCAATCAGCGAGGTAAATCGAGCCCGTCCTCCATATACCGCAAACGGAAAGAGCATAAGGACACACTAGGATTGATAGTTCCACAGATAATCTCGTATTCACTTCTTGTGAAATACAAAGTGTACAATTAAGAAATTCGTGAGTATGTTATACGTTAATATAAATTATATCGTGAGTAGGCTAAGTCCGAACTTGCTTTGAGTATCATTCCTTCCTCTGTGCCAATGAGCATGACTTCAAGCTAAAATTCAGTCGTCGAGAGTAAGATATACACTGCTCTATAAAGCTGAACTTATCTCCAAAGTTCTGCGATGGTGAACCATGACATGTTACACATGATTCAAAATATTTTCCAGGAGCAACCCGGTTGATTCTTCGTGTAGTGCGTGTAGTTTGTCAGGAGGTTAAGAAACAATGAATGTTTGTGCACTCCTAATCAACCATATTTCCCGTCATCATCATATTGTGCCTTACTTTTGATAACATTGATAGTATTCGTGGAATTGTTGTACTGAAAATCGACAAAACAGCTCTCAGCATGACGAGCGACTGTTTCACCGCCTTTTAAGCTTCATGGTTAAGAAAATCGTTGCCCATGCCTTATAAATGCCAATGTCCGTCCCAACGTATAAAAACTCACAACCTCAAAGTGAGGAGCATGTTTAAGGCTTGTGACGGTCGAGGAACGACCAAAATCTTCTTAAGCATCATATATACCAAAATACCACATCAAATTTGTCAACATTCACAGCATTCGACGCCTATCTGCCGTAGTGGCAAGTGCGAGATACACCGGAAGTGCTCACTCATGTCATCTTTGGCGCTGACTCCCTTCAAGGCTGGCCTTTTCGTCGGCAAGAGTATCATTGTAACAGGTGGAGGCACTGGCCTTGGATATGCTATAGGTAACTTGTGATCAACCAGAGCGTTTAAGTGTGCTTCAGCAACGAATTGAAAACCACAAAATGGCCCAAATTGTCTTGTACACTGATTGACGTGTCCAATTCTACCCTCAAACAGCCAAGGAGCTCGTATCTCTCGGTGCCAAGGTGGTGATAGCCGCTCGTCGCATTGAAGTGTTGGAAGCAGCTGCCTCTGAAATGAATAAGTCCTCTCAAAGAGGAGGAAAGATTTATGTGTGTCAGTGCAATGTCCGTAATGAAGATGACATCCAAAAGCTCGTTACTTTCGCGTTGGAGACAATGGGAGGGATCGACGGATTGGTGAACAATGCGGGCGGGCAGGTATGAGCGCCTCTTTTACGCTTGTCTTACCCGTTTACAACGTTCACGAGAGCATTCAATCCCTTCTTTGATCCCTACCTCCTCACCATGGCCCGGTCAGTTCGTCAGCCCGGTCGAAAACATCAGTGCCCGTGGGTTCAAAGCCGTCGTCGAGACCAACTTGCTCTCGTGCTTCATGCTCTCCAAGGAGATTTATAACCGCTGGTGCGAAGAGAAGATAGGGTAGAGCAGTAGCAAGAAATGGATGGGTCCTCTTCTCGCTTTGTATCATCCCCTCCGTGTCGAAGCCCCAGACCTCGGCCTTTTTCCACACACTTTCTGGCTTCTTGACCACCATCCACAGGTGGAGTCAACAAGAGGATAGGAAGAGGAGTGGATCCATCGTTAATATCATCCTTGCGAATAAGAATGGTTTTCCCATGATGGCACACAGGTAAGCCCTTCCTTTGGTCCCTCTCCTTTTTTCCCGTCTCCTCCTCTTTTTTTAACCTGCCTTCTTCTACCCTTTCTACATTCCTTCTTCCACAATCTTCACAAGCGGAGCTGCTCGTGCGGGTGTGGAAAATCTTACCAAGAGCATGGCCTTAGAATGGATCGGGCGAGGAGTGCGGGTCAATTGTGTCGCCCCGGGGATTATCTACACAGAGAGCGGCTTCGCTAATTACGGGTGAGGGCTGCGACAACTTTCCATTTCCTCGTACTCCCTTTTTCTCATCACTTGGCTAATCTCTCTCGCCTCCCTCAACTGTCCATGTACGTTAGTGAGATGGCCGGTGCTTTCCTTTCCTCGGTCCTCCCTTGTATACCCGCCCACCGGTGCGGCACTGCCGAGGAGGTGAGTAGCCTCGTAGTCTTCCTCCTCTCTGACGCTGCTGTCTATATTACGGGTCAAAATATGGGAGTGGATGGGGGTATGGGGCAAGGCACTATCCCTCTACGCCCGCAGGACCACGGCGCCAGCCTCCTGCCGGTCTATGGAGAGCTGCCCATGAAGGCGAGGCTTTGAGGGTAGCATGGTCAACGTGTCGAGACAAAATTAAAAACGCATTTTAAAAAATATAGAAGCCATTTCTTCAATGTGGCCTACACGGTTTTGGTATTTCCTCGTGTAGTCGTCCGACTTCAATTGCCCCCACATGATATTATGGGTGGAGTTGACTTTGTTCAAAGCTCTGATTTTTACCTCTTGAAACTCCTCGGCTTTTCTTTTCCCTTCACTCTATTCCCATGAAATAAGTCAAGAGAAATACAAAAGATTATCAAGAAGCGCCTTACGCCCGACGTCTCTGAGCTCGAGTCTATTTCCGAGGGCGCTGGCACGTAAGGAGGCAGGAGGAGGTTGACGACGTGCCTAGCACTCTAAAATCGCACGCTGTCGCTGCCATTGCATCTCTTGGATCCTCGTCTGAAATGCATGGAGCTTAGCTATGGGCAAGAACCTCTTTGCTACCACTATGCCTCTGTAATGTGTAGTGTGAATTATGTGGACAGGGCTTATCCATTGGGAGGGTCGTGGAAGCTAGGGTTGAGGTGGCTTCAAGATTTCTCGAAGGCTCTCCTCGCACGTCTATTTAATGCCCCGAAAACCACGTAGCATAACGGTGCTAGACCGGAACAAAATCGCGGACACATAGTACTGACACATTCATCGTTGGACGGCTGTAGTCGTGTGTATCTAGTGCAATTCAAGAGAGATTGTAGAACCCGTAAATTACCTCCTCTCTTCTTGCATGCACCCGCATGGACACGCCGCAAATTGCAGCCCGCCTGACCTATCCTTTGCCACCTGCACACAGAGATTATGGCAATGGCTATAATGAGGACGGGATCTGAACACGTCAAACTCCTCTCTCTGTTGGTAATCGTCGCGCTTTTGTTCGTGTCTGGGATAAGCGCCGATAGGTACGTGGAGCCTGGGGGGCCGTGAGGGGTACAAAGAAGGAAGACGGACACGGAGAGGCGGTACAAGGGAGGGGGAAAAGATAGATGCAAGTTACGCGATAAATGGTCGAACAAATGGTTTTTTCCTGCACGAAAAGCTCAAAATTGACGAAAATTGTTGTCTCTTGTGTATTCGTCCACCCCTCCCAACCGCTTCTTTAGCCATCGCAGACGGAAGAGCACAGCCCATGGCGGGTGCGCGAGTGCCAGCTTTATCACCCCTCCTATGGCTCACGGGGCTAATTACGGAAGGGGTAGAAGTGTTCCCTCCAGCCCTAGCGCTTTCACCCAAGCACCACGCGTGGACCTTGGGGGCCTCCGTCAAGCCAAGGGAAGGACAGGGAGGGGTGGGTCCTTATTCATGCAATCGAAAGATTATTATGACATTCTCGGGGTCTCGCGTAGCGCCACGAAGCAGGTGAAGAATGATAGAGAGATGTAATGGCAGGGAGGGCGAGGGAATGAGATGGATCGGATGCGGCACGGGGCCCTGGCCTGGTGAAGCGGGTATGGGAGTCCCCCTTAATGTCCCAAGCCCGGATTTGCACTTTGTCCGTGTTCTACAGGGCATTCGTCGGATATGACGTTCCTGTTTCCTCTCTGACAGCCCCCTTTCTCTCCCTTGTGCGTTCCCTCCCCGGCCCTCAGGAGATCAAGAAGGCCTATCGGAAACTGGCACTGCGCTGGCACCCGGACGTCTGCAAGGAAGAGGGGGCGGCGGATAAATTCAAGGAGGTGAACAAGGCTTACGAGGCGCTCAGCGACGAGGAGAAGCGGGCACGGTAGGTCAGGGGGAAGGAGGAAGGAGGAGCAAGAGAGGAGCGGGGGGGTGTCTCAGGTATTCCTGTGATTGCCTTCGTACACTCTTGTTTCTCCTTTTCGGTCGCCATCTTCCCCTGGAGTTACATGAGCTTCTCTTTCCCTTTCCACGTTCTCACCTTCTACTTCCATTCTCATTTCCTCCCCTCACGCTGCCCTGCTTGCCGCAGCTACGATCGCTTTGGGGAGGCGGGCGTGGAGGGTCGGGGCTTCGGGGGGGGGGCACAATTCGTGGACGACTTCGATATTGGCGACATTTTCGACTCGTTCTTCGGAGGTCAGTGCCAGATACAAGTGTGCGAGGCGGTGCTTTGAGATATCTGGACCGGTGGGGTGGAGTTGAGTGCCATGCTGGGGGTGGGTGGGGGTGGGTGTCGTCGTCGATGTATGCTGCGGTACAGGCGAATGGACCGCTTGCCGAGGTTATGGGAAAGCATTTGGTCCTCTTCTTTCCCGTAAGCTTGCAGATTCTCATCCCTCACCGCTTTCCTTGTCCGTACAGGAGCCGGCGGAGGACGTGGCGGAGGGGGAAGGCGGGGTCCCGGCGGGCGGCGCACCCCCCAGGTGGTGCCAGGAGACGATTTGCGGCTGGACCTGACTGTTCCCTTCAGCACCTCCATCTTTGGGGCCGAGGAGAAGGTGAGAGGGAGGGGAAGGAACGGTCGCCGGGGGGTATCGGGGGAAAGGATACACGTTTGTCTGTGCTATTAGGCGTAGGCGCGTCTCAGAATCCTCGACAAGCAGAAATCGAGAGACCAGATATGCTGGGTACTATGTGAGAGTGTCAGCGAATGGCTGGCAACCATGCGCTTTCTTTCTCCACCCCGCTTCTGACCCCTTCCTTTCTCCACGCCTCCTCCCCTCCCTCCTTGCTCCGCCTTCCCCTCAGGTACGCATCAACCACTTGGAGACATGCAAGACCTGCAACGGCTCCGGCGCCAAGAAAGGGAGCCCCTCCCGCGTCTGCGGGAAATGCCAAGGGAACGGGGTGGTGGTGCAGGTGAGGGCAGAGGGGGGACGGCAGGGGCCAGGGGGAGGGGACTGTCGAGGGCGTGGTCATCATGGCATGCGTGGCATCTAGGTAGCTGTCGAGCCGCGTGCTCCGTCCGACGCGCCACTATCCCTCCATCTTCCTCCCCGCTCACCCCTTACCCCTCCCTCCCCAATCAGGTCCAACGCACCGCCTTCGGCATCATGCAGACGCAAGTCGTGTGCGACCAGTGCGACGGGACCGGCGAGGTGGTGGCGGAGAAATGCGGGGACTGCAAGGGAGCGGTACGTCGCTTTCGCCCATTATGCCTGCTCTTACCTCGTGCCGCCACACACCTGATCTTCTCCTCCCTATGCCTCTTTCGGCCCCAATGATCTCGTTTCTGTCCACAGGGGGCCCTCCAGACCAACAAACAGATCAAGATCGACATCCCCGCCGGCGTGCAGGACGGTACCAAGCTGCGCATCAAGGGGGAAGGTAAGGGCATTATCAGCCTGGGAGGGAGCCGGGCGCAGAGGAGGAATTTCTTGTGCTAGGGGGGAGAACGAGACAGAGTCCCTGAGATGGTATTTCCCTTTTGACTTATCGCTCTCCCTCCAATCCTCTCCTCCCTCCCTTCCTCCCTCCCTCCTTCCCTCCCTCCCTCCTGTCCTTCGTGCCTTCCTCTTTCCCCCGTGCTCTCAATCCCATCCTCCCATTTCTCAGGCGACGCCGGCCAACGCGGCGGCCCATCCGGAGACCTCTACGTCTTCCTCTCTGTGGAGGTGGACAAGCGCTTCCGGCGGGAAGGCATCGATTTGTACACGGACCTGAGCATCGACTACTTGGGTGCGTGTGTCCTCATTTCCTGCAGACATCCTTGCTTTGCTTGCTCCACATGTCTTCCCTTCTTTGGTTCAATTTCCTCTCTTTGCTGGCCCTTTCCCGAGATGACTGATAATCGATTGCCTTTCCCCTTTCTCTCACCTTCAGACGCCATCTTGGGGAGTGAGAAGCCGGTTCCCACCGCGGATGGGAAAGAGGAGGTGGTTCAGATTCCCTCGGGGACCCAACCTACGACCCGCATCACCCTCAAGGGCAAGGGCGTGCCGCGTTTGGGACAGGTGGGTACTCTCCTTTCATTCTCCTCCCCCTCTCAGCCGTAGCATGACCCTCTTTCCCCTGTGCTTCGGCTTGTCATTCGTGTCCTCTTTCTATCGCCACGACCGCCATTGCCTCCTCTGATCTTTGTCTTCCCCCCCGTCTCCAGCCCAACCTTCGCGGTGACCAGATTGTGAACGTGGTGGTGAACTTCCCCACCAAGCTTTCAAGCAAAGAGAAGGAGCTTCTCCAGAAGCTAAGGACGGTGCAAGGAGGGGCGACGGGCGTGAAAGGAGGGCAGGGTGTTGGAAAGGAGAGCAAAGGCATGGGGGGGTGGTTTGGAGGGAGCAGCAAGTAAAAGAGCGAGTAAATGGGGGCGGTGGGCGTTGTGTAGAGGGAGCTCGGGGAGAGCATGGCAGCCCGGGGGCTATGGACGCGTGGGGCTTTATGGCAAAGGAACCGACACAGGTCTAGGATGGTTTTCTGAGCGCTTGCGTGTCCCGCAGGTTTCTGCCTGTGAAGGCGTTGCTTGTCTTCCTTTCTCCCTCGCTATTCTTGTCCTTCTCCCTCCAACCTCTCTCCTCCGTCCTACTGCATACCGCCCCCCTGACCGCGCTGCGCCGATCGTTGCACACGTCCCAGCACAAACTCAGACGTGTCCAGGTACTTTGCCACAGTCGCCTGCAGAAGGTGAAGGGATAAGTACTGAGTTTGACGAGTGCGCCGGGACGACCTCCCCCGCGATACTCGCTCACAGGCAGTGCATTCTCTCTCTCCACCTGGGCGATATTCTGCCCCTGGCACCGGACTTCTCACCCCGTACCTGTATGCAGCTCTGCTCCCCGCTTGATAAGGAGGATGCCGGCTTAGTGATGCAGGTTTCAAATGCCATCTCTGTCAAGCGCGCGATCACAGATTGGACCAGCGCCTTCTGCTGCTCCGCCATGACCAGCTCTTCGAGCTGTCCTCCGCCCCCGGCCCCGAGCCCTGCGTTGCAAGACATGAGTGACAAAGACTGAGGAAAAAGTAAACGTCTGTCTTTGTGTGCTCGAATTTCACCCCATGTACGCCTGTCTGATGCCCTACAATTTATGCTTTTTTCTTAAGGCCCTGCCCGCTCCTTCCTGACTCACATTCGTCGTCCTCAAGCATTCTACATCTTTCAGCAAAAAAATAATACCCCCTAAAATCTCAAGGAGCACCTCATTACTGTTTACCATGCTATGCATGGTAGTTACTGTTTTGCATTCCCACGAAGCCTTGCTGCCTTTCACTCACCTCCCATACCGCCCCCGCCCAGTGAGGAGTCATACGCGCCAACCCCTCCTCCGCTTTCCTCAAATCCGCTGGCTGAGCTTGAGAAATCATATGAGCTTTCTTGTGTGTCCTCCTTCTTACCACCGAAGCCAAACCAAGACATCTCTGTTTATGTAATCCTTGTGAGATGGAAGATTGAAGGAATGCGCAGTGTTCAGCTTCAAATCTATTCACTCTGGGAAAGCACGGCAGCGTGCGCTCTTTTCTCAAACAGTCTTCCTTTGCTTATCAAGTAGCGCATACAGATGTTGTAGCACCATGCATGGCTTAATCAATGACACAGCTCCTGTGTACCAGCTAATAAGGGAGCTAGGAGGGCCATCACGACGGCCACTGAAAATTGAGCAAGGGGAAAAAAGGCGTGAAGTCACGCTCACCGTTTATCACAAACCATACTGTTTGAAAAATCTTGTTTTTGGTGAGATGTTAAGCTGAAAGAGGGGGAAGCTTGACCACATGCGCAACCATAAGAAGCCAACGTGCGGCATGGATTAACACGTTATGCCTCCGGGTATCCAGCCCCTGTCTCACGGTGGAGTAGGGCCCGAGAAGACGAAATAGAGCTGCACAACACGAAAGAGACCCTCACAACTGACCCCCACATGTGAGAAGCTCTTAGGAGGCCAGGAAATGGCCATTTTTTTAAGGCCTCCCCCTGAGAACACAACAAGACCCAGAAGACATGTGAAAATGCATTTTTGGCACAAATTGAAATATAATCGCCGCGCGAATGCTGCGATTCAGATCGGAACGTCCTCTCCACTAGTCCAAGCAGCACAGAAGCAAAATGAAAAACTATGGCACCTTCTGGTCGGCAAGAGCTCACGAAGCTCTATACCTTAAGGAAAATCGTTCGAGCAGAAAAGTAGAATCGCTTGTGGCTCTAAAGCCGGCGAGTTGGAAAATAAGCACGAAGTAGGGGCTTTAATATAAAAAAGGAAAAATGGCACATCAGTCCTTGACGAGGCCGTTTTTCTTGCGATGTTATCCCTTCTTTTGTCTACCTCAATCGTCGCCTGGAAACGTTCGCTTCACAAAACGTGGCGTAAATGTCAACTAGACCTGAGCTCGTCCAATGGGACAAACGACGTCAGGCACCTTGCCCCGTCGACATTCATGATACGCCCTCTGTCGACCTCAGCGGCTCAACATGCTTAAGTCAAGCTCGTACTTCCAAGGCCGACGCAGATATTTCAGAGGGCCTAGCTTTTCAAATACAGTGTATGAAATGTGTGTCGGAGATGTTCTAGTCTAGTAGTCTACACACAGCGCCCCAATCCGCCTCTTCCCTCCCTCTTGTGGTGGTGGTGGTCAGGCGCTTGGAGGTACCCCCCCCGTTTATACCGTCCTTCTTGTACGCATTTAATCAAGGTTTCTCCATCGATCTGACAAGCTCGTCCGTAGACGGGACGAAAATGTTGTCAGACAGAATGATGGGTGTCCCAAAACCTGTTCCTCTCCATTTGTGAGAGGGATGAGAAAGAAATGAGAGCTCTTGGCAATCTCTGTCTCATCAGTGCGCGCCTGTCGCCGGGAGGCCGACCAGCTGCTTGACAAAGTCGTAGATGACGAGTTGGATGGTGACGATCATGCCCACGTGCAAAAGCCGGGCTCTCTGAGGGCAAGGGAGGATAGCGTGACCATGCGAGAGGTAAATAAAAGGGATCTATCATGCCACGCTACCAAAGACAGAAACACTTAATTCGTCACGCGAAATCTCAGCCTTTTTTCCTACCACGCATCCCGAAACCTGCGCGCCCTCCCACCAGCCCGACTACCTTCCACCCCTCAGCCACCCACCGTTCCCTTGTAGAGCCCTCGGAGGCCCAGCTCTTGGACCGCCTCTCGCATGGTCTCGACCACGGCCTGTGAAGATGGGGGTTCACACGGGGGAGCGGCAGGTGAGAGTCTCGCAAGATAAGGGGCCTGTCCATCCCGCCATGGGAAGGTCTGCGTCCCGTCGCCTCGGCTACCGCCCCTAGCGCTTCTCCCAGCGTCTCCACGCCCTCCGGCCGCTCTTCCCCCCCTACCTTATGACTCTTGGTCTTGTTTACCCGCGAAAGAATCACGTCGCCTGGCTGCGAGGCTATGGAGGCAAAGACACCCTGCCAGGAGAGGAAAGAGGAGGGGGAGAGGGCGCTTGAGAAAGCCGCGCTTGCCGTCACGGAGGGTGTGCTCTTCCTCTTTGTGCCTCCCATTCCCCCTCCCACTCTGCCTCTCGTCTCCCTCCCCATCCCCTCACCGTGATGAGGGCGCTGCCGAAGGAGACGAGCCACTGCCAGGGCCCGGGGGCGTGGACGAGACGCGCGGTCACTTCCCACGAGTAGAACACGCGTGTAATGAGCTCGAAGCCGCAGAGTTGAACTGGGTGGGGGGGGGAGGAGGGGAAGTGGGAAGAGGGGCAGGAGTGTCAAAGCGACGGCGAGGGATGGAGGTGGGCCCCGACGCTCAAGCCCACAACAGGGTCTGAGACGGAGCGCGGGCGACAGGGAGGCAGTGAAGGAGGGAGGAGGGCTGAGGCACGAGGACGGGCTACCTATGGTGTAGGGAAGCTGTTTGGCCAGGATGGCGGGCATGCCCTTGAAGATGCTGGAGCACCCCTCCTCTCGGAGCAAGTGTCCGATGCCGTCCAAGGTGCCCGAGGCGAAGGAGGGATCGGCTACGAGGCGGATGCGGGTGGCCTAAGGGAGGGAGGGAGGGAGGGAGGGAGGGAGGGAGGGAGGGAGTAGGTGCGTTGGGCTCATAAGGAAGAGGACTGAGGGCATAAATGCGAGGCCGACACGACGAGACCGCTACTTCCCAAAAGAAGATATGGGATGGACCGGAGAATGGCAAAACAGCAAGTTTCACGAAGGGAGGAGGGAGGAAGGGAAGGAGGGAGGGAAGGAGGGAGGGAGGGAGGGGGAAAGGCCCGACCTCGAGGGGACAGAGAGCGGTGCTGGCGATGCAGTCGGCGATCATGCTGGCCAGAACCCAGGTGACGAAGATGGAGGAGCAAGGCAGGAGACGGGTCACCACGCTCTTGAAGATGGCGTACAGCCCATACTTGAGCGACCCCTGGATCGAGTACCCTGAGGGAAGGAGGGAGAGAGGGAGGGAATGGTGGGCGAGGAGGTTGGGAGGAAACGGCAACACAAGGGTCCACTGGAGACCCGACCGCCAGTTTCGGGTGCCGGAGAGGCGGAACCATACCCCGAACCCGAACCCTTACCCTACCCCTAATCCTAGCCGTAGAGAGGAGGCAAAGGGAGGACCTACCTGTCAGGGTGGCGCCCAGCCCCTTGAGGAGCATGCCCGGGCCTTCTTCTCGTCTGGGGGAGCGGTCGGACACAGTAGAGGTCAGGCATCTACCGCTTCATTCCCCCGCCTTCCCCCTCTCCCCTCCCCTCTCGCTCCTCCTCCTTGGGCTTTCTGGCCAACGTACCTTATCTTCTCGCAAGCACCCCATATGCCCAGGCCTTGGTACCGGGCGGGATCGGTCTGCAGGCGTGTCTTCACCACGTCTGAGGAACAAGGGGAGGGGGCAGGGGGGGAGAAAGGGAGGCAAACGGCCTGGGGTAAGGGCAGGCAAATCTCGACTCAAAGTCTGGTACTTTCAAGTCCTGCCTCCCTCCCCCCTTCTCTCCCTTTTTCCCTCGCTCCCTCCATGCTCACCCAGGGGCACGGCCCATCCGTGGCTGATGCTGGCGCAGACGCCCCCGGCCAGAAAGATGCGCCAATAGAGGTCACCGCCAGAGGGCTCGATCCCGGGAGGGGGGCGGAGCCGGGCGAGAAGGGAGGCGAGGAGGGAGGCGCTGGAGGCGTCGGGGAAGAGGAGGGCGGAGGGGATCAGGGCGGCCAGGCCCGTGAGGAGGAGGGCGATGCCCAGGATGGGGATGGTGCTGCTGAGCTTCTGCTTGCCGGGGGGGCGGCGTTGGGAGGGGAAGGGGGAAGATGTGGAGGCAGAGGAGACCTGGCCCTTGGCGTCTGGGCGGGCATTGGCGGGGACCGAGGGCGGGGGAGGGAGCGCGTCGGACTCTGTGCCGGGGTCGGAGGAGCCGTCTGCCCCGCTGGCCCTGAGCTCAGAGGGGGAGGAAACCGGGGGGGGCTGTCGCCCTCGGCGCCGGGAGGAGAAGGCGCCGCCACCCCTTGCGGAAGGGAGGGTGGGGGGCAGGAGGGCCAGGGAAGAGGAGGACGATGAGGAGGGCGTGGAGCAGGCGAGGGCCCCGCAGGAAGGACATCTTCTCGGGCCTTGGCTACTGAGGCGCGTGGGGGGAGGAAGAGAATGGAGGAGGGTGCCCCGGTGAGTCTTCAAGGCGAGTTTCCTGAATCCAACAAGTGGTGCCTGCAAAGTAAGCGAAGGATTGCCTCCGTTCTTTTCACACGCTTCGGGTTACCGTACCTGACACCCGCCCACAGAGTTTGCGGCGAGGAGGGGCAGCTCGCTGCAGATGCTCCCCGCTGGCCCACAGGGAGGAAGGCAATCCAAGCCCAGGAGGCCTGCGAGCCAAGAAGAGCCACGTAGGAGAGGCATACTAGGAAGGGAGAGGGTCGCATGCTCTCTGCTTGCAGGGGCCGGTGTCCGAGGGTGTGTGTTTGCTATGAGATGGCGTAGGACAGAGCTTCCAGCACCCCAGACATCAAATAGTCCTTATTTTTCCTTCGATTGAGGATTCAAAGCATAACACTGCCGCAAACACCCATCGTTCCCTGTTGCTCGCCTAGGAGTGTCCTTGTCCTACCTGCAGCACCACCTCAACCCTCTGGCTTTTCCCTGCTGGCTATTGCTGCCTACCACCGCGACGACCGACCGAATGCACGGTCCTAGACTCTAAAATGCGCCCCTGCGGATACAGAGCGAGATGGCAAAAAACTTTCGAGTGGAAATGGGAAGTGGGGCCCGCTATAAGCTTAAGCGTTGCAAAGGCTCGCCTTCCTGTGCAATCGATATCGAGAATCTCTTCGATGCACCGACCCGCCTCAATAAGACCCTTCAGCTTTGCCTTCTAACGCCCACCAGCACCAAAATCCACTGCAACCTAGCTACAAGCTGTGCGGCTCTCGCACGTGCCTATAAGTAGTGTTACCTTGCTGCCAGGGCGCCGGCTGTGATAAATTACTCGCCGACGGGCACCATCAACATAGCCTCGACGCCGCGTCGATCTTCTGGGCCCTGAGCCTGAAAATATTAATAAGCGCATGCACGCGTCAGGAACCGGGCACAGGCGTGGCTCTCGTGATCGACAGGGCATGGCGAATCACTCGGACATGTGCACTTGTATGGCACCTTGATAAATGGTGCATCATTGGTGTTTTGGAAACTGTACTTTCTATTTGTACTAGTAGTGGAGAAGCTCTAGGTGCTGTCCTCTGCAGTAGGAGCATAAGCCTAGGACGACACCAAACAAGTAACGCAGTTCCCTCCCCACGCTGCGTCGCCTGTCCCCATGCCTTGTACTTATGAAGATTTTATTGAAGATTTTAATCCGCTACACGTCAGACTCGATGCTAGAGCGCAGTGCCTTCATAGGACTCATTCCCCATACTTGCCCCCTCCGATAATCACGCCACAGACCACGCGTCCAAGACGGCAGCGACGGGACCAAGAAATCATCTCTTAACAAATTGTCACCAGTATAATCAAGTGAGACTGGCTCCCTCTGGTGGCTAAATATGACGCGCCACCCCCGCAGGGGACCCTCCCCGCGTCCCTCCTTCGAACTTGGCACCACAACCAACAGCACAGTCAGCTCCAGTACTTCCAGCAGCTCAAGCGCGAATACTGGCGATATAAGTACTATTAAAAGACCAAGCACGGCCCAACCCTGGCCGGGTAGACAGGGCTCCACCCCCAGGTCTCGGACCCCGGCTGCGTCTGGCGTGCCTGGGACGGGGGGGGGCGGCGAGAAGGACGAGGAGGCGAACGACCCTCTCACGCACGAGAGCGCACCTACAAGCACCACAAGTACCACGGGCAGCAATACAAGCTACCCCGTGGGCGGGTCTTCCTTCCTAAACGCTTCAAAGCCGGCGGGGCGCCCTGCCTGCGCCGCAAGCCGAGCCCCCTCCCCCTCGCCCAAGCCCTACATCGCCGGCTCTGTCCCTTTTTTCTCCCTCTCCTCCTCTGCACTACCCCACGTATCGGACCCCGACCTTGCCCTGGACATTCCTCCCTCCTTCCCAGCCGATATTCGGGTTCCCGAAGAGCTCCTCTCCACGCACTGCATGGCCTCGACTTCCTCCCTCGAGGGAGGGGCCTCCGTCCGCTCTCTCGACCCTGCGCCCTCCATCCTCTCCTTTGGAGACTCCCTGGCTACAGACTTGACGGCTGCGAATGACCCGTTCGGTTTGGATGGGGGCAGGGACGGCGTGGGCTTCTTGGGGCCGGGACTGGGGCGTTCGGATGGGGAGGGGGGGGGGGGCGGAGGGAGGAGGATGGGCAGGACGGCCGGGGTGGGAGGCGGAGATAGAGAGGGGGGAAGGGGGGGAGAAAGAGGGGGTGGCGGAGAAGGGATGCGCCTGCCAGGGCTGGGAAGGGCGTTGAGCTTCCCTTGGTTGCGAGGAGGGATGTCCGCATACAGGCAAGCGGGGGGGCCGAGTGTGAAGACTCGGACCAAGTCCCGGGGGCAGCGACTGGTAGAGGTGAGGGAGTAGGGGCGATACAGGGGGCGGTCGATGGAGGGCGTGGGGTGCGAGACGAAAACATCGCGTCACAACCGCGGGGAGAGAAGCAGGGTTGTAGGACCGGAGGCGGGGGCTCCGGTGGTATCGCCGACGGCTCAGCCGCCAGCCTCCTGTTGGCATGAATGCAAGCAGCAGAGGGGGGAGGTCTAGCGTATTTCTTTTTTCCTGCGCGCAGGCGGTCCTTTGTCCTCACCAGAGCTTGACCTATATCACCACACGTGTTCCCTCTATCAGATTATGATCCTCCTCGTCCTGCTGGTGCTTGTGCTCGGCCTCACCATCTGGCTTTCGACTCGCCCTCGTCCGCAGGGCGCCGGCCCTCCCGAGTCCGAAATGAACCCCTTCTTCCCCCCCCCGTCCCCGGACGATGACGGACCAGTTCCCCCGCTGGGAAGCGAGGGGCAGGAGCCAGCCCCCTCCGCCGTCACGCCTCCACTCTCAGACCCTGTCAGTCCATCGCAAGGGGCCGGAAGACAACGGACGCTGAAGCAATCAGGGTTATTGATTGTTACAGGCTTGTAAACTGAATGGCTGGGTCGAGGAGAGCCTGAAAGACTCCCAGCTATGGAGAACGTGGTACTTGTGAGGCATGCAGAGCGGAAACGCGTGGAATTGGAATAATTACCTCACAGACATGCTCCGGACTATTCCTCTAGTAAATAGAAAGCTGATCTATGTGCCACATACGTCATGCTTTGTAACCATATCAGCTCTTTTGTCAAAGTAGGGGAACGAGTAGTACCATTTTCTTGGCGATTAACACACAGAGCTGGGAAAATAAGCTCTCATAGGTTGTTCAGGGAAGTAACCGTTCAGAAAATCTCATTAAAAATTATATCGCAAAGTTGTGGCTATTAGCTTGTTGTTTAGCATGGTTCTTTTTGTGAAATACTCTCTTACTTTCTTGATAGACGCCGCTTCAACCATGAAACACCACCTTTGTAGATGTTATTATGGGTACAAGCCCAGCTCTTCACGAAAATACACAGTGTATACAAGAGTATATATCTTGTATCTTGACCCAGGATAAGTATAGCATGTACAGTGGTACTCCCTGTTCTCGCACTTCCACTTCCCTTCGTTATTGTGGATAAGTACCGAAATTTGTGATGCACATTTACAATGCAGTGATTGATTTGTCTTTCTCTCCTAAGCGCCAAGCCTTACTTCGTCATCCTCTGCTTCCTTAAGTTCTCCCCTCTTCTTTCCACTGCTCTACTTTCTGTACTATCGCACGACAATCTGAGCGACGTAAACTCCAGCTAAATCCGAGGCAGAATGCCGCCATTTGTGTAAGTCCATAAGAGGGCTTCTTACTTATCTGAAGGAAAATCATTTGAAATCGCGTTCATGTAGTGGAAGTGTTCTACACCTACGATCATCTTGTTGGAAATTCATTGCGATACCACCACACATGTATCGCTCTTCCAAGATAATAGACCTCCCTCTTTTCCCCTATTATGCAATCGACACAATTAATGAAGGTCGCAGGAATGGATGAGAAAAATTGGAGGACGAGAGGACGAGACATAAAAGGCTGCTAAGAATATGCATGACGAAAGAGGTTCATCGCGTATTGCCGGATGGTTTGACGAAACGATTTCCGACAACATACTATTTTTCCTCCACATATGGGAGCACTATAGGCACAGTCCATATGCCCTATCATTATTACATCACTACTTCAAGGCTTTTAAAGCTGTTCGCGGCGGCGGGCAGGGGCAAGGGGCATACAATTGGGCCGTTGCAAATGTCAGTTGATAACAATTTTAAATTTTTCGAAATCAAGATAGGCCTGGCCTACTAATTTAACTTTGTCCGAATATGCAAGGATGTGCTCGAGGCTTTTGGCCCACATGCATAGCAAATAAGGCACTTGCACAAGGGAGGCGCACTGTATGACAGGTTTAGAAGGCACGCTTTACTTCGTGTTCAAAGCTTTGGAGCTTGTCCTGTAGAGCGGGTGAACGGTTCGAGTCAACGGATGAGTAAAGAGACGTTATCCTCGTCGGGACAGAATTGGACTGCCACCTTTATGAGAGATTCATTTTGCTTTGAGAAGAAAACGAGGGGAAACTTCTAATATTGCTATAAAACCAAGTCTTAGAGCGCCAAATAAGTGTAGAATGCTATGCATATATGATAATAGCCAAATTAGCTGCAGAGGCAATCTGTAGCGTCCGGACAATCGTTCTCGATGCCATGCTTGACGCTCCCATAATCCTCAAAAAATATAAAAAGACTGTGAATCTGATAGAGGAAAAAATAACATATTTTCAAGGAAGCTCGCAGCTCGAGACACAAGAGGATTTACAGTACTTAGGCCCGCAGCGGCGTTCTGAAGATCAGCATCACCTCTAAAATTATGCACATCTCCTCTGGATCTCTATGCCTTTTTCTCTTGGGCCTCGCGAGCTTTGAACCTGTCGTCTCTATTGAATGCCCGCGTTTTTTCTTGCAGGCGAAGGTGCGCCCGAATGGCAAGCGCGGAATCATGGCCGGTAGAGGCCAGGCCAAGGTTACGGTCACACTGCACAGTGATGGTCCCGCAAGCAATATTCAAGTTGGTTTGGCCCTACCAAACGGATTAAATGTCCACAAGACTGCAACAAAACCGTCCAGCAAATTATACACGCCTCAAATCGTCCGGGATCTCGATGGAACCACCGAGCTTTTTTGGGAAGGAATCGATTTTACCGATCGCAAACGAAACAAAGGCCGGTTTCGAGCCAAAGCTGATGTTGATTCTTGTGCGCCCGAAACGCTGGCCATCAATGCGTATGCATTTGTGGTCAACGCAACGGATGTTTCCTGTATTACGGAGCTTGTTACCCCGACAATCATCAATGTGCGATATCCGAGCCTCAGAAGAGGCGCCACTTGCGCACCGACCCCAGCCCCCACCATAAATCCGTCAGACCCTTTTGTTCCTGTTGGGGAGGGATTGCGCTTCTCACGAGGGGGCCAACTGGCGCCATTTCAGCGTCGTGCTCTGTCAACGCCGTCCGGGTTGAGCAGGGACATGAGCCCTGCATCTCCAGAGGGAGGCGCATGGCGACTTCTGCAAACGATTAATACACCTGCAGACTGTTATGCTTACTGCTCGGTGAACGGGGGCCAGCCACCACCTTTTTTATTTGAATGGAATAGAGTGACCCGCCAATGCTACTGCTGCATGGGGACATGCACGCCTTTCGTGTTTGATCCTGCCTTTGTCGTCTTCGTGGGCCTTGTGCCCCCCACTTCCGCGCCGACTACACCGACACCAGCACCTACTGCTATGCCTACGATAGCGCCAACACCAAGTCCCACCGCGGTACAAAATGGTTCCTTGTCGTTAGGGCCGGGAGAGGACTATTTAAACGTGGCTGTTGTGAGCGGCGATTTTGTGTATTTCGGGTAAGAAGAGGCTTCCACTGATGTAACTGCAGTATGAAATGGCGCCTTACTCTGTGATATTTCTCGCTCTATTCGAAAGCACTGATACCCCCACGGCAAAGCTGGTGAAGGTGAGGCTTTCAAACTTCAGCGTAGCCGACAGCCTCGATTTTGCCTTCGGACAAGGTTACCTCAATGCAGGTTTTGCGAGCGGGGACTACGCATATTTCGGGTAAGAAGCTCTTTAGAAACACAACTTTAAAACGTTTGGCTCTGATCTCCAAAATTCCCCGTTTTTCGCTTCACACAGGACTTTTACCTTACCGGGGGTGGTACTAAGGGTGCATCTGCCGAGCTTCACGCCGGACGGCAACGTGACATTTCTTCCCCAAGAAAATTTCATCGATACAGCTGTCATAAGCGGAGACTACGGCTATTTTGGGTAAGGCTGCTGCGCACGAAACAGGGTATTTCAGAGCATGCTTGATCTAAGTGCTCATCAATCTTGCTTCGCACTACGGACAGGCTCTATCTGAATCCAGGCAGGGTGGTGAAAGTGCAACTCTCAACGTTTACGCGGGTTGACCACCTGGACTTTCAAGCTGGAGAAAGTTACATCTCATCATCTGTGACAGCTGGAAATTACGCCTATTTTGGGTAAGATGGAGCGTACTTTCAAGCAGAGATGAGCAAGAACGGCCTAAGATCCGAAAAGGACCTGTCATACTCCCCCTACAGGACTGATCTAGAAACGAATGGTTTGGTGATGAGAGTTGATCTTACCACCTTTACTCAAACTGGAACCCTCAATCTCGAGACTGACGAGGCCAGTCTTTTGAGCGCAGTTATCAGCGGAAATTACGCCTATTTTGCGTGAGTAAAGTATGGAAAGGAATAATGATTAGATTTTGGGGTGGTTGATCCTCATTTCCCGTCACGTGTACAGCGCCTCAACGTCCCCTGGGAAGGTGATCAAGATAAATTTATTGGACTTTTCTCGTGTCGGCGCCGTAGAGTTCCAGCTGGGCCAGAATGAGCCTGTTTCAGCTGTTCTGAGCGGGAACCACGCATACTTTGGGTAAAGAGATGCTTCTGAGGAGGGAATAAAGCCCTAAATGACACAGCGTCGACTCACATTCTATTCTCTGCGCAGCACGTACACTGATCCAACAGGCATCGTTGTGCCGGTAGACCTTAGGAGCTTCACATTGGGCACTGCGGTGGTGCTCACTGGAAATCCACTCTTGACTTCGGCAGCTGAGAGCGGAGGCTATGCTTATTTTGGGTAAGTAGCACCTATATCCCGCCAAAAAATTATGCGAACACGTCCTTCGAATAGCAACCAAATTGCGTTACCTCTCGAAACAGAACTTCCACTCAGCCGGGCGTCATACTGAAGTTGCTAGTTTGAATATTGTACAAACATTTAAGGTTTGGACAATAGTCCCGTATTGAGTGACGAGTGCTTCATCTTCACGTTCGTCAAGCTGGTGTAATTTAAATAATCTATGAAGATGTACTGACCATTTCAAGCTATATTCCCGCTCTTTCATGAATTTGAAATGAGAAAGGGATTTCAGCATGGTTTGTGCATGGATTTTTATACGCCGTTCGTTATTTTGCTATTTAATTGTCCATTATCAAGATATCGATGGAAGTTGAACTATATTATCGGTGGCGAGACGAAGTCCGAAAATCGCTGCGTAAGAATCAGTATGGCAAATCGGCCATTCATTCTGAAATTAATACGACTCGCAGCGAGAATGGAAGCCCAGGAATGTTCAGTAAGATGAAGACTTTAGGTGAATGGGTCCGAGGGTTACCTTGACAAGGAAGGAGAAATGCACTGTGGATCATGAGAACATGTGAAGAAACAAAGAATTGATGATATCATGTTGTCTACCAGCTTATATCCTCTTGGCAAATGAACACCGGTAAGGGATAAACGCTGTCGGCTATGATCTTGAAAAAATAGTTGCATTTTATTACAGGCAGCCTTTTCGGGTCTTCCAAGCATGTATGAGCAGTGAGGTGTGCAAGGCGACCACAGTGTCAGCTCCCTCCGCTTCTTCGCTTCTTCGAAATGAAGAGCTAGCACGATGATATTATTACCACCAATTACTATAGAGAAAGGACGACAATTTGAAACCTAACAAGCGCGACAACCAGGAAGGAGACACCTCGACATATGTTTCTGCTTCATCTATTTGGTCCTTATTACTACGTTGTTCCTCCTGGAATGTAACCGGAGAAGGACAGGATATATCGGTCAGAGATAGGGACGCCTCTTCTCCATCGGGTACAACTCCCTGGTCGTCGTGATTGCTTGTGCGTCTTATTTAACAAAGGGGCAATTTGTGCCTACGGATGGCAGGATATATATATATTTATATAAAAACCGGAAACCTGCGCTTAAAATGGACCAATAGTGCTTAACACATATCTTTACAATAGCATGGAGATACATTATCTGTTGACTAATGCAAAGCGCGCAAAGACAGTGCGGCTAAGCATGTCTATATGTGCAGGAAACATTCTTGAGCGACTTGCACTTCCGAGTTGACGGCCTGAATCTGGAGCTTGCGCATGCACGTCTTGATTGTGAAGTATTGCTAAGCCAGGCAAATTTCTCAGCATGCAAACATGTCGGTAGACTTTCATGTAGTGTGTAATAGGTTCGATGCACACTTTCTGACGGAAGATCCGAGCCATAACGTAGAAGCGGTAAGAAGGGCCATAAGAGTCGTTGAAAAGTTAAAGTACAAGTCTTTGAGGCATCCATGGAAGGGTGATTGATGGAATATGTTCACATCTAAGGACTGCTCTCGTCTTTCCTCTACATGGCCCATGGGTTCCTTGTGGAGTAGGGGATTCTCTAAATTACATCCGCTCTTAACGAAGTGACAGAGATTACTGTATGAACTTCCGGAGTTGGTCCCTCGAAGCAACTTCTGATCATCAAGTGCAAGCCAAGCTTCGACACCCTTGGGGTCTTCATTTTCTGTTGTAGGCTTTGTGCGTGAACAAAACGCAGAACACACTTCTGCCCTGCAGCACCAACACGAGCCAAACAAAAACTCTAGCACCCACTATTTTGTAAGTTAGAAATATGCTGTATGCTGACCTGGTTAGCTGACAGAGCTCTTTCCTCCACGCTTGGTCCTGTACACCTCGGCCGTTGTTTCGATGCTGCCGTTGAACAGAAGAGTACCCGGAAGTTCAACCTTTCCGTCGAGCCTCTTGATAAGCTGGCTGGTATTGGGCGCCTTGATGCACGAGTTGCGTGTTGTTCTGGTCTCAAGCACTTAGGTACAGTATTTAGTCAAAGAAGATGTGGTTAGTCTGGTATTTTGTTGTGGATTCGCGCTCCGGATGATCTGTCAACACGCACTATTGCATTGCAGAAGCTCACGGGTTGCTTTTATGTCGGCAGTACTGTAAGGCTGCGTAGTGGTATTAATAGAAAAGCGTGATTGATAAATATGGATGCAATCGATGTACTTATTCCTGTTTTACCATGACAGTAAGTGATTCACAGCAATCGGGTAGTAAGCTACCTCTCAGAATCCTCTTTGCGCGTCTTCCTGCTCGGCTTGCTGTCCTACTACCTCGACCTCGCACTGCGGGCTCTGTTGTCATCGAGTGCATAGCTGTTTAATATCAGGAAGTGGCAAAGCCGGAGCTCATAAGTCAGGGCTTGTAGGGATACTACGAGTCATCGCAGGCATGTTTATATAAGCCCGATATTGGAATGATTTCTAAGTAAAGGATGCTCGCTTCTGTGCTTTTGTGCGACATGATTAAAATGCTGCCATCATTTCTGTTCCCTCGAGTCAATTAATTTTCATGGTGGTCTTCTCTCATAGGTTTATTGAGTGATGTACCGTAGCAATTATCCTCTTCGTATATTGATTTACCTGCAAATCGCACCTTACTTCTCTCAGAGTGCAGCACCTTTGACCACACCTTCGCCCTTCATCTCCCGTTTCCGGTCTCCTTGTTTTTGCTGTCCCCTCGAGGCTTTGCAGGGCATCGCTATCGCTTCTTTGTACGGTGTCCGATGCCCCGGGATGGGTCCCACCATCCCCCGCCCGTCAAATCTTAACAACCCCCATCTCACCCTCACCATGGCTTCTCCTTCTACTCTCGAGCTGCTATCCTCATCTATTAGCTGAGCGGACCAACCTCGCCACCACTCTTTTACCCATGGCGCAGGATCTAGACTGGTCACTATCTTCCCAGGGCGTCGTGCGCTCCATCTTCTTTGCCGGCGACGCCCTCACAGACCTCCTTGACGGCTACTTTGCCGACCGCTTTGGCGGGTCGCGCGTTTTGCAGGCGGGAATCATCCTCTAGTCCGTCTGTGCCTTTCTGACTTACGCATTTACTAGAGGTTAAGCTGACGCTATAGTAGTTGATCGAGTTTTGTTGGGGATGGGAGGGGGCTTTTCCCGCCATCCACGCTACGATTTCTCGACGCGTGCCTGCTCCTGAGACGCTGTCGGGCTGTCTCCCTCATTACGCTCGCAAGCCACCGTGGCGCCGTGGTTGCGCTCGCCTTGTCGTCCCCCCTGGTGGAACACGCAAGCTGACCCATTTTTTGGGTGCTCTACCCGTCCTCTGGTTTCCGTCTGGTGGGTGTAGGGGGAAGAGAGAAGCGAAGAGCGGGAAGAGAAGGAAGAGCAGGAGGTACACAACAAGCAAAATGCGAAGAAGGGCATAGTTTGCCAAATACATACTTTATCATCCGAGCCTCAATGCATCGACCTCACGCTAACGTTCGCTCTGTCGACGGCCGCCTCTCCCTCTATCGCTTCCTCCGCCCCGCCTGGAGGATCGATGTGGGCCTTAGCCAGGTTGATACTCACCCTAGTAGCTTAATAAACGCAGGTATGGGGTAGCAGCGATTTCTCTCTTGGCTTCCCTCGTACTACAGCAAGAAAAGCCAAAGAGAACGGCAGGGACGGCCATGTGGTTAAACGGAAAGCTGTATAAATCTGACGGTTGTTGTCCTGCCGACCAAAGTAAGACTGTGTGATCTCGATCCTACTTTGAGCTAACTTCCCCTCATCCTAAGTCCTTTCTTGTAGACTCTGATATATGATATCGACGTCACATAGCTGGCTGCTTTTACCCTCGCCCCCCTGCAGCTGCAGGCTCTGGTAGGGATCGCGTCGGGCTATCTGGCCAATAACTTGATAGTCGCTGGTTGGTGGTCCATGATACGTGTACGTCAGTCAGCTATTGCAGACCGTTGCTACAGATTTTCCTGCCTTCTTTCTAATCCTCGCTACTACTAAACGCGAAACGCCCTCCGCATCTGCTTCATTTCTAGTCTTCTCCCTTCTCTATGCCACAGCCGGCGCGGGCCTTTCCGCCTTCACTCTCGGCGGTGTTTCTTGCTCGCATTCGAATGTTTGTTTGTCCTCGCCACGCAAAGTCATTCTTTGCGGCATACAATATTAAGGTCACAGTGGTAGGCCTGGTCTCGGTGCCGATAGCGTGGTTGGTATTGAAGAGAAGTGGGAGTTTTGATTCGGTTTCCGCCTTGTTCACGGCGCATTACATGAGAGAAACGGCCCTGTACGGGGCTTGGATTAAAGGCAAGGACATTTTGCGAGCGATAGTAAAGGGGAAGGAGAAGGAGAGAGGAAGATATCAGGTCTGGGGGAGGAGGGATTCAGAACTGCCCAATCAGGACCCGAGGAAAATTTACATACCTTTCGAAAATCATGTACACGCCATACGGCCCAAAATTGTAAAGGTACGCAATAAATCGGTGAAAGTGAAAACAAATATCACGGAGTATAATTAAAGAATTCAGCAGTGTGCCTTGACCGCTAATTGCCTGCTGTGCGACTTTCTTCGCGTGAATCGATCCGGACAACAGGAAATTTCCTCCATTAAGCTCTATTTTGTCCCGCATCAGTCCTCTCGGAGCATCTCCTCTAAATATTTACAAAGAGACTCCGGTACGTCTTGCCCGCGCCGCAATCAGGTTTGCCTCCTCCGCCTCTTCCTGCGTCATGATCCTTCCGTGCTGCTGCAGGAGGCTTTCAACTTTCTGTCTCGCTTTCTCAAGCAGCCACCCAGGATCCCTCTCCACCGTCAGCAGCGGGGCTAGCTTTTCCAGTACCTCTGCCTCACGCGCAGTTTTCTTCAAGTGCGCCTCTACTTTCTCAAGCTCCTTCTCATATGCTTGTAGACGAAGATTCAGCTCCGCAGCCCCGCGCCGCAATACGCGAGAAGGTAGGCCCGTTGCCAGTGTCTCAGGCAATCTCGTCCAAGTGCTTGTATGACGTGCTGGCCCAAAATCGCTTTCCTTAGAAGTCTCTTGTGTTTCAATAAACATAACTGGCAGTTGCTTCTTAAGTTTTATTCCTTTTTCCTTAGCTTCCTCTGTCAACACCTGGACAGCGGCCAGGGTGAGAGCTACAGCGTGCGGGTCGGTCCATGAGTCCGGGGGACTGATGTGGTGCCGAGCCAGTCTCGCTATTGCAAGCTCTTGCTCGACTAGCAGGCGTGTATTGACAATGCGTTGATCGGGATCCGCCAGAGGAGGAGAAACCACACAGCGCGAAGCGTCAGATGTGTGCATGACGGTGGCTTTATTCCTTTGTGCTACGTCCACTCCTGTCTACTGGGTATTATTTCTGAGAGTGAATAGCCTTTTTTGTATCCACGCTGAGCTGGCAAGACCAGTCATAGGTATTCTTGCTCCTCGAACACCAGGATGACACGACCGGACTTGCACATCGGTGCGTGTTTATCCGCTCTGTCTCCCAGTCCCCTCACGTTCTATGTCGCTCTTCCGCGCCGCACTCTGTCAAAATTGTGTTATTGGGTTAAAGAGAGAAAGTTATGTTTTCGATAAACGTCGGGAGGAACATGTGCTAGAGCGAGTCATTAGGTTTCTCCGTGAATGTGGGGAGTCACCGATACCACGCTAGCTCACAAACTTTGGCTTCTTATTTTTGGTCGCCACACATTCATCCGGGTCGCCTAGTGTTGGCATCCTCCGTCTTACGTTCAGAGGAGGCATAGTTTGGCAGATTATCTCACACAATAGAGCAAAGAACATTAAACATATAAGAGAATGACTGAAACTATTTGTCCTTCAGGCAAGTTGGAAAGATCACATGGCTCCTGTCCTTCTTTATTTCGCGTCCAGACAGTCTCTACGCTGGCCTCCCGCCCCCCCACCATAAGTAGTTTATCAAAAAAAACGTCGGCTGCATGGCAAAACACAGTGTAAACATATTCACGATAAATGGCAACTTTGGCTGTTTAAACGTTCCAGAAGGACGGAGGATGTCAAACTAGGCGACCCGAATGTGTGTGGGGCGACCAAAAATGGATAGCCAAAGTTGGTGACCGCCGACCCCATCGTTTTAATAACGGGTCCAGGGAGTTTTAGGATCGGCTCCGACAAAGTCCTATATGACCATGCAGCTCACTGGTCGCATGAAGATTCACTCCGAGTTTTCGCCCATGTGCTCTTCTGTTTTTTGAGCTTAAGTTTATGAAATTTGTGTTGTGGCTGACGAAAAAAAAAACAATTATGCTGCTTCTCTCCCTATCTTACATTTTGGATTATTCATTATATCGGCTGCTAAGATGGCAGGTGCCTTCGTTTGCCATCGCTGTACAACTATTCTCACTTTCCCGTTTCGATCCTAAAATTGATTATCTTGCCTGATTGTAGAAACCTCTATGGCTGCTTCAGCTACAATTCCAGGCCCGTGGCATAGCCCGTAGATGTCTGGCTTTCTTTCATTTCTCAACATTTGCTGCTAATGATGACGGAGGCCCCTCGTTTCGCATACATTTAAAGACCTTATCCGCTGCTGATGTTCTCCCCAGGATGAAAAGAAACGCGAAAAGGGAGGAGCAGAGATGAGAGAGGCGGACGAGCACGGCCCTGACCAAGCTGATGGACATGGCGCCCAAGGTGGCCTTGCTCCTGGTGATGAAAGACCGTGTGAGAGAGGAGGGAGAAGAGTGGGACCCGGTCGAGGAGACGGAGGGACGAGGCGCCGCGAGAATCAGCGGCAGTGACAGGGTCAGCAAGGGCGGCGGCTTTGCAGCTGGCCGGGTCGACGGCGACGCGGACGCGGCTGCGGGGCCATCGGCGGTGGAGGAAGAAGAGATGATCCCTGTGGAGCTGGTCCAGCGGGGGGACCTATTGAAGATGGTCCGGGGTACTCAGGTGCCGGCGAATGGGTGGTGCTGCGTGGCGAAGGCTTCCTGGATGAGGCCTTCATCAGAGAGGAGTCGCTGCCTGTGACCACGCGGGCGGGGGACCGGGTCGTAGGCGGAAGTCTGAACACGGAGGGGCTGTTCGTCATGCGCGTCACGAGCATCGACGAGGATTCGACGCTGTGGCAGATCATTCGTCTCATGGACGATGTTCAGCTCTCCAAGGCACCCATCCAGGCCCTGGCGGATCGGATCACCGGCTTCTTCGCGCTCGCCGTGCTGGCCATCTCCCTCCTGACCTTCACAGGCTGACTTTTCGCCCTCTACCTTGGCTGGGTCCCCGACTCCTGGCACCTAGCGGAGCAGACCGCCACAGGAAAGGCCTCTTCCATCGTCTTCGCGCTGACTTTAGGAGTCTCGACGATGGTTGTGGCGTGCCCGTGCGCTATGGGGCTGGCCACGCCCACTGCCATTATGGTGGGCACGGGGGTAGGGGCGGCAAACGGTGTTTTAATCAAGGGCGGGGAGGCCTTGGAGAAGGCGTACCGGCTATCGGCAGTTTTGTTCGATAAAACAGAGACCCTGACGCAGGGGCTGCTGGCAGTGGACCGGTTCGTGCTGTTGGAGGATGAGACAAAGGAGAAGCAGGAGGGCCGAGGGGAAGGGATGCAAGAAGCTTCTTCCCTTTACTCGTTTGCTTCCATCATGTGGGCTGTTGTTAGTGCTGAAAGAGGCTCGGAGCATCCCATGGCGAAATGTATCGTGCGGTACTATTCCTCGCTTGCCTTTTCCTTCTCGCAGTCGTCTTGTCTACCCTCCTCCGTCCCTTTCCATGTCCCCGCTTCCTTTCTACCTCTGGTGGGACCTCAAGACTTCTTTGCCGTAAAAAGGCCTTCACTGTCGCGTCGGCGGGCACAAAATTGTTGTTGGTACACGGACATGGCTCCCAGAAGTTCAGGGTTCGCCTCCCTCTCCAACTGCACTTAAAGCTGCCAAGGATGCCGAAACTCTAGGGAAAATTGTGGTATGAGTCGCCTTCGATGGAAAGACCGCCGCTCTGATCGAGATACTCGACCAACCTCGTCCTGAGGCGAAGGCTGTTGTTCAGGCCCTGACCGACTCGCTCAAGCTAGAGGTTTACATGGTGAGTGGCGACAATGCGAGGACGGCGTCAACCGTTGCGCGAGGACTACGGATTCCTCCCTCTCATGTCATGGCAGAGACACTGCCTTCCATCAAGGTGGCCAAAATAAAGGATTTGCAAAGCCATGGGCACGTGGTGGCAGTGGTCGGCGATGGAAGAAACGATGCGCCAGCCTTGGCGCAAGCAAACGTGGGCTTAGCTATCGGCGCGGGAGTAGAGGTAGTTCAAGGGGCGGCGGACATGAGGTAATCAGATCTGACCTCAGAGGTGTCCTGATGACCACCTTTTTGTCGAGGAGTATTGTCCGTCGCATCTATTTGAGCCTGGTCTTGGCCTTCTTATATTACATTGTGGGCATTCCTTCGACTGCAGTTTAACTATTGCCCTGGCTGCGCACTACCACCCCACCATACATTGCAAGGGCAGGTATAGCTCTTTCCAATGTCCCTGTGCTGACGAGCTCCTTAAACTTGAGGCGCTACAAGCCGCCCAACGTCGTAAAAGGTGCTCCGGATGACATAGGATGCCTCACCGGGGGAAATGGTCGACAGAATATTGGTGCAGGGTTTCGGCGACGGGAGAATGACATATTAGGTTTACTACCTTTTCAAACGCACGGAGAGCGAAGTTACGGAGGTCTTTGATAAGTCGTGCCATTTGTCGAAATCAGAGGTTGATTATGCAGCCAGTCAAAGCTAACATAGGTATCTAATTGCCATTCGGGCAGCTACGATGCGTAACAGCACGACATTCTATCCTTCGCGAAGCGCATTAGAGAAAGTTGAGATGTAGAGACTTATTGAACACTAAATAGCGTTCAAATTTCACGGTAGAAATTCTCAATTTAATCAAAATTTCAATTTCAATCTGTGCGTTATTAGTCATAACATGCTTGTCATCCCAATAAAGAGACACCAGACAATGTCACAGTCAGTGGCGGGTTTTGAGTTTAGAGGCATCAATCGTCCGATAATTCACGTGGACTTGCTCCCTTCATATACAGTGTGTACATTTTCTCTTGTATTTGTGAAACTAGGTGGATACTCTCACACCACACGATGAGAGTCTTGATATTTACCCTGAGCTTCTTTCAAGTTCTCCCGAGCTCCGGGAAGTGAAACCAATCTGACAGCATCTCTCGTAACAATTGTATAATAACAGGCATGAATCGAGCTCATTGCCCTTTGACACATATTTGTTTGCTCGCAAAAGATCCGACCCAAGAAATTCTGGTGAAGCATTCGAATCTCCCATCAACGAGACTACTCCCGAGATTCGCCGAAGCTCGTCACATTCTGTAATGTATAGATTCTATAGAAATTCTTCTGAGTTCTCCCGAGCTCAATATAACTCACCTCACCTCACAACGGGGACTAGGCAAAGTTTCATTTTCTTAAACCTTGGCATAGATGTAATTCCTTGCACGCAGTGGAACGTGTTGATAAGTCTTCTAAGTCAAGGTGCTTCAATTGCCTTATATCTGTAAACCCTCAAAGCGTCGCAAAGATTCTTGTTTTTGCAAAAGTACCTGCCAATGAAATAAGCCCCCCTACCATCGTCTTATTCAGAACGCTTTAGCGAAGAATCCATTGAAGCCTTTCGAAACTGCGTCTTACGAACTTACGAAGTTCCTGTTGTCAAGTAGAATATACGACATGTACACGGGCTTCAAGAAAGCAGATTCGTTCACTGGAAATCTGCTTATTTCCATGATTATTATTCTTATAGCAACAGAGAATCGTCCTTCTGAGATCAAGCAAGAGGACATATCATTGTATACTAGGAATATGCGTCTTGTCTTTCCTTCTTTTTGTGTTGTCCTCCTGACATTGGTGAGCATACAATTCGCAGCCCCTCAAGAATGTCCACGCCTTCTAATGAAAGCGAAGATACGTTCAAATACGAAGCGCAATATTTTGCTAACGAAAACCAGGGTCAAAATTACTGTCACGCTTGGCACCAAAGACCCCGTCCGTAACCTAGATTTTATGTTGACTTTGCCGAATGGACTATCGGTGGAAAAGAGCACAACTCGTCCGTCCTCCAAATTTAATGCACCGGCTGAGATCATCGAAAGCATTGATGGTAACACCAACGTCTACTGGCGTGCTGTTGGACTTGGCAAAAATCGAATGCGACGATTCCGAGCGAAGCTCAAAGTTGACGAGTGTGCTTCTGAGACTTTTGTTGTGGATGCGTTGGCTTATCTTGCCAACGCAACATCCGTCTCCTGCATGACAAGATTAGCCAACCCA